AGTTAGACCTGTGCTTTTCTGTCAGAGGCAGTTTGAGGCAGATTTTCTTGTTAAAAATGTAATATTTTTGTACAATCTCTCTACACGGCTTTTACTGTTATTGAAAGCATACCAGGAGCAACTGCAAATAGAGTAACTGACTCTTCTGCCTCAAAAAACATAACTAAAGTGGAGAATTAAAGTGTTAGAATGAAAAGGAGAAAATATATCACTGCTGTCAGAACAAAACCTCCTATCTCAATTTTTGTCGTTTTTCGGTTTTTGACGTAATTTGAAAATGCCTGTCACTTTTTACATTGTGTGTAAATTTCATGATGAATGGACCAAAAGAAACGACCAAAATATACTTGGAAAAAAGTCTGGTTCCATTGACTTACATTAAAAGTAAAATATGTTTTTTCCTTCTCCTGTAAAGTTACCATTTTGGAGATACAAGGTTTTGTTCCGACAGCAGCGATATTTTAATAATTAATTGTGATTTAACCAACTTTCTAGTTGCTTTCCAGTAAAGCACAGTCAGAATGGCCTCAACAGGTATAGCTAGTGAGCAGCCAGCGTACCGGCCAGTGCATAAAGCTTAAAGAGCATCGTTTTATGATAGACCAGACTTTCACTGTTACTGAGGAACGTATGATGGCCTCATAGACCATCTGCGCCCAATTAGCCCTGTGATAAAACTCCAGTGATAAAGGAGATTCGCAAGCTCATGCTGGATGGGAAAAGGTCAGTGCTACATTGACCTTCACATCATTACATAACACTTAATGGATATACAATAAACACTTGTTTTATGGGCCACGTTTGCTGGGAGAGGTAATATCACAGTCTGTATGCATGAAAAACCAGCACAGACCAGCATGCATTCTGTGCTGTTTTAAGCTGGTCACCCAGCAAGGTCATGCTGGTTGACCAGCGTTCCAGCATTCAAAACACAGCATATTGCCGTTGTCGGATCAAAACCTTGTATCTACAAAATGGTAACTTTACAGGAGAAGGAAAAAACATACTTTACTTTTAATGTAAGTCAATGGAACCAGATTTTTTTCTGAGTAATTTTGGGTCATTTCTGTTGGTCCATTCATCATGAGATGTACACACAACATGACGGACCTCAGGTATTTTCAAATTATGTCAAAAACTTAATGGAGATACAAGGTTTTGCTCCAACAGCAGCGATATGCTGTTTTCCTGGTGACCAGCCATGCTGGTCTGAGCTGGTTATAACTAAATTTGTGCTGACAGCCAGAAGAAAGGAAATCTTACAACAGACACACTAAAAAATAAGAGTTTGAAGGATATAATCGTCACAAATCTCCCTCAGGCTGAGAAAGTTTGATAAGTAGACGAACTCTGACACACAACAACATCAGTAAACTTTATTTATACACTTTAACTAACTTAGCATGATGAGTGTGAGTGGGCAGGGCTAAAATGCTATAGGCTGAATTGGTGGATGTATGTAAATGCGTTGATTTCATTGACATAACAAAAGAAACAAGTTCAAAATGGGCTGTTTTATTCCATATATGGACCTCATGGACTAAGTAACGTTTACATTTTACATCAAGTTCACACATTACAGCAAAGTTAGACCTGTGCTTTTCTGTCAGAGGCAGTTTGAGGCAGATTTTCTTGTTAAAAATGTAATATTTTTGTACAATCTCTCTACACGGCTTTTACTGTTATTGAAAGCATACCAGGAGCAACTGCAAATAGAGTAACTGACTCTTCTGCCTCAAAAAACATAACAACATCAATAAACTTTATTTATACACTTTAACTAACTTAGCACGAGGATATTGTTGCCATGGAACAGACATTTAGAGCTAAACTAGATAATTAGCTGTTGTGTTGTGATTCAATGTTGAAATTCATTCATAAATATTAAAAACATGAATACTTTTTACTGATGTGGGTGTTTGTCCAAGAATTAGCAAACTAGCTCAGCCTGAAGGAAAGCTATGATCAGTCATCTGCCCCATACTGTTCAATCAAAAGCTCAGTTCAAGAAATAACTACCTGAACTACAATTTTTAGGAGTTTACATCAATATCTCAGATCAATAGCTGCCCAATACCCTCCAGACTGCTAATGTGAGGTGTTATCATGGTGCTGGCAACTAAACAACACAACAAAACAATTAGCATAACTAGCATAACAGCACCCACACTTCTACTCAAAACAGCAGGAGATTTAGCCACTGTGAACTTTTTTTGATAGTACTACCACTAGATAACAGCCGTAATGTCTTTCAAAAATCTTCATTTTTTTATGTAACATTAATCTAAGACCCCTCACTTAAGACCTAACTCAGTTCAGCTAATACCATCAGTAAACTTTATTTATACACTTTAACTTAGCATGATGATATTGTTGCCATGAAACATACATTTATAGAGCTAAACTAGATAATTAGCTGTTGTGTTGTGATTCAATGTTGAAAATTATTCATAAATATTAAAAACATATTGATAATTTTTACTGATGTGGGTGTTTGTCCAAGATTTAGCAAACTAGCCCAGCCTGAGTGAAAGCTGTGATCAGTTATCTGTCCCATACTATTCAATCAAGAGCTCAAGTTCAAGAAATATCTTAAAATAATTAAATATACTAGCAACTATAGCAACTATACCAAACAACAAAACAATTAGCATAACTAGCACAACAGCACCCTCACTTCTGCTCAAAACAGCCACTGTGAACTTTCTTAAAGAGGTTTTTGTTGTTGTTGTTGTTGTTGTTGTTGTTGTTGTTGTTGTTGATGATGATGATGTTGTTGATAGTACTACTGGACAACAGTGGGGTATTTCACAAAGCAGGATTTCTCAGAACCAGATAACTTAAGCTCAAAGATGAGGACTGTCCAATGGGAATGTCCCTCACCCCCTTTCCCTTTGGACAGGCTTGACTTTGGGCTTAAGTTATCTAGCTAAACTGAGAAATCCTGCTTTGTGGAATACTCCCCAGATGTACTGTCTTGTAAAAGTCTTCATTGATTTTATGTAACAGTAAGTTAAACACGCTCACTTTGGCCTCACTCAACTGTCTCACTAACCTAAGTCAGTTCAGCTAATACTGGTTTACTTATCTGAAAACTCGATTTTATACAGCCTGAGATTCCCATCCAGAAAGTTTACCACATTCAGATTTCACACTGTTTCACTGACTTACGTGGGAATTGTTTGTTTATATCACTTTGCTGTCTTTGTCCATGCAGTTCTTCTCTCTCCTCCAATGAACACAGCCTGGAAAGGCGGGAAACACCAACCAATCAGAAGCAGTGTTGGAAAGTCACTGTCTTTGTCACAGCAACCAATCATTTGCATGTACATTTAGCATGGTTGGTGAGTTTTAAGGTAACTGCAACCTGACAGAGTAAAGAGAATCTCTAAGAGACTGAGCTGCAGAGAAATGACAGACAGCTATTGAGAAATCGTGGATAAACAGTGGGAAATGAGAGAATGTTGGTGAGAAATTAAGCATAGGTGGTGAAAAATGAGAGATAGCTACTGAGAAATGAGGGATTGTGAGACAAAAGAGATTATTGAGAAATTAAGGATATGTGGTGAAAAATGAAAAATCACTACTGAGAAATGAGAGATAGGTATTAAAAAAGAAGGATAAATTGTGAGAAATAAGCAGATACTTTATGGGAATTGAGGGAAAGTCACTGAGTAATGAAAGTAACTACTGTAAAATGAGGGCTAGAAAGTGAGAAATAAAAGATTGCAACTGAGAAATAAGAATAGATATTGAGAAATAAGAGATAATGATTGAGAACTAGAATATAATTACTGAGAAATCAGGGACAGGTGCTGAGGAAAAAAAAGATGGCGAGCAATGAGAGGTAATAATTGAGAAATAAGGGATAGTTATTGAGAAATAAGAGACAGGTGATGAGCAATGATAGGTAGATATTGAGAAAAGATAGTTATTGAGAAATAAGAAATTATTACTGAGAAATAAGAGATTGATAATTATGAGAGGTAGATATTGAGAAATAGAGGTAGATACTGAGAAATGAGAGGTAATAATTGAGAAATGAGGGATAGTTATTGAGAAATAAGAGACAGGTGATGAGCAATGAGAGGTAGATGTTGTGAAAGATAGACAGTAAGAAATGAAGGATATATAGTGAGAAATAAGATATGTTGATAGAGAATTGATAAGTATTGTGAAATGAGGGATAGATAGTAAGAAATAAAAGAGGGATGACTGAGAAATGAAAGATAGCGATTGAGAAATGAGATTGATGATTAGAAATAAGAGGTAGATATTGAGAAATGAGAGGAAAAACAATGTAAAATAAGGGATAGATAGTGAGAAATAAAAGAAGATGACTGAGAAATGAAAGATAGTTATTGAGAAATAGAACATTACTGGGAAATAAGAGATTGATTATTAGACATGAGAGGTAGATATTGAGAAATGAGAGATAGACAGCGTGAAATAAGGAATAGATAGTGAGAAATAAGAGGCAGTCATTGAGAAATGAAAGATAGTTATTGAGAAATAAGAAATTATTACTGGGAAATAAGAGATTGATCATTATGAGAGGTAGATATTGAGAAATAGAGGTAGATACTGAGAAATGAGAGATGGGTAGTGAGAAATGAAGGATATTTACAGAGGAATGAGGGATAATTACAGGGATATGGGGATATGTACAGAGATATTACAGATAGTGACTGAGACATGCTGGATAATTATGAAATGAGGTGAGAAATGACAGTTTTTCAGAAGTATGTAGGGTCACGTGTCACCCAGCCCTGATTTTCATGTGATCAGGAAAGGGTGGGATTAAACAAACTCCACACACTTTGTAGCTCCACCCCACTATCCAGCTGGGCAAGTTTGATGAGCACACTTCCCCCAGCACTCCAGACCAGTGTCTCCTGGATGTGCTGAGTGGAGACGATGAGCAGACTGAATTAGGAGCTGGGCCGAGTCTTTCTTGGGTTTAGTGTTGTGCTGAATAACCTCCTTCCTCTCTGCTCACCATGGGGGAAGCTTTTGTGAGGGAGCTCCTCGGTCTGTGTTTGCAGCGGATTGCTTTGGATGAGAACATCAACTCTGAACTCGGTGAGCTTGCTGCAGGTCGCTTTGCATCTCCTCTCCCCATTTGTGGCCCTCCTATGATTCAGACTGATCGATTGAATGATTAAAAGATGACTCTACGCTGCCTGCACCTCAGTATATCCTCCTTTCTGGTGTTAAGAGGTTAGCACCTGAAAGCACGTGGAGCTCAACCTGCACTGCTTTCACTTCATGATGATTTATTTACGTGTTTTGGAGAGAAATATTCTGTTTTTGCTTTTCTCCAACATCCTGCTCCGACCTAGGACACGGAAAGCCTTGAACAGGTTGCTGTGTCCATCACAGTTTGTTTACTAAGTAAACAGGAAGCTGTTTTGCTGGTGTTTGTTTTGATCGTGGTTTATTCTCTCGTGGCTTTTGCAGTATCAGGGTATCTTTGTTTAAAGCTGCTGTTTCCACCTGTTTAATGAGCAGAGCCTCTAAATCAGCACCGGGTCAGCCAGCAGCTTCCTGCACAGGCCTGTTTTAGTTGTATGAGCCAAAGTTAATTCAAAAGCTCCAGCAACCCAGGCGTTAGGTGCTGGCGTGCTCCCCTTTACCATTTTCTGAGGAGGAAAGCTCTACTGAAGTGGAAAGTACTGTATCTTCAGAGTGCTGTCTGTTTAAGGAGATGCACAACAGAAATGCATTAAGACCACTTAAGAAAGGATAAAATAAAGGTGCTTGAGTTTTGTTTATACCTATACAGGTAATAGGTGAAGACAGCTGGAATGGCCCAAATGGGAATCTAATATACTGATATATATAAAAATGCAGATATCAGCTTTCTTCTGAAAATGAAGGGTATTAATAGTGAGTTTATCCTGTGAGGATTTGATTGAGCATTAGTGCGGTCAGGTACTGGATGGTCAGTTCTGGATCTCATCTGTGGTCCGTTTTATTTTGTGTTTGAGCCTCTGCTTTCTTTTCTTCTAGAGCTGTTCATAGAGGTCATGCGACACTTTGAGACGGTCAGGAAGAAATGGCTCCATGCAGAACTGGAGCTGAAGAAATACAAAGAGCTCCTGGTCAAGTCGGACGTGTCTCGTGCCGCTCTGGAGGTCAAACTCAAGCACGCTCGCAACCAGGTCGACGTGGAGATCAAGAAGCGCTACAAAGCAGAGGCCGACTATCAGTACCTGGTAGGTCTTTTAGAATGCATTATTATTGATTATGGTTATGTTTATACACTTCATTTATGCAATTCAGTAAGGCTATTAAGTACAAGTCATACATTTCTAAGGATGTTTCTGAGGAGATTAAATGAAAGATAGTCCACTTGCATAAGGAATAAGAAAGTTAAAGGAAAATAAGTGAAAAATCAGGAGTTTACAAAACTGGAGTTCAAAAAATGATTAAAATCTGCAGAGTAAATGGGGTTCCTAACAACCACCTGGAAGACCTGGTCGACACCAAAACTGCCCCCATCAGATAAACAGCACTTAAAGCTTTCATCTCTGAGAGAGAGGAGAAAATCAAGCTGCTTCAGATCTGAAAACATCCACAGGTGTTTCTGTCCATCCTACCAGTAGAGATGGGTACTGGAGTACTCTGTTAACTGTTTGAGGTGCCAGTATTCAAATTGTATTCAAACACACACTGTTAAAGACACAACTGAGAAGGATGGTGTAGCGCAGCTTTATTGCAACTAATTTATAGGTCCAGACATAGTGGAAATATATTTTTCTGACAAAATAACTCTTTGGCACATCCTCCACAGAGGAGAAAAGGCCTCGTGTAGAAGCTGGTGAGTCCTCATCAGCATCCAGGGCAACACCGGTTAGCTCTGTTAGCTCATTAGCTCATTTGAAGGGGCAGCCTCCATTTCTCACTTAACATGAAACCCCAAACTCCAAACTTGGCTGTTTTTACCCTTTGTGTTGCTGTATTGTTGTGTAATACCGGTACAGTCACCACAAAGTAAGCCAAAAATATTTTCGGCTAAACCTCACTGAGAAAAGGAGACGGACACATCAAACAAAGAAGCTGAACGATGGACTGACCACCCCAGAGTCCAGACCTCAACACCACTGAATGTGTTTGATTACTTCAGAAAATGATCAACCAGCTTCTAAGACTGAACTTTGGAGGTGTGTCTGCAGATTCTTTGAGGAACTGAAAGTGAGTCTCCTGAAAACAATGGAAGCTGGAATAAAGGTGAAGAGTGACTCACTGAACACTGAACAGCTGAGATTAGATTAGTTGTTGAGGATTCTGTGTGATTTTCTGTTAAATAAATGTTTCCAGACACTGTAAAATGAACTTGTGGCTGATGTCTGTTTTGAGTAGAATGTGAATGAATGGAGGGGGTCTCTGACTTTTACACAGTACTGTTTGGACAATACATGTTGTATCTTCCATCATGAGATAAAATCCCTTCTATATCTTTGTGCATTAGATTATATTAAAGCTTCTGGATATTTTATTCATTTGAAGTAATCAAATCAAGCAAAATGATCCTGTCAGCAGACGCTGCCTTTATGAATTTATTTCTCAATTATGCTTTTTTGTTTTTTGAAATGCCTTTTTTTGCAGTGGACTGGAAAAGAATGCAAAACAGTTTCTTCTCAAATCTCTACAGTTGCCAAAAAACACATAATATCAACGAATAGAAAATAACTAGTGGTTTAACTGGTGCTGCCTTTGGGGTATTTTCAGTATCAATCCAATAATTCAATTTAATTACAGTTGTTTAGGAAGCAATTCAGTGCATTGTGAAATGTCACAATTTTGACTTGATTTAATTAAATTGGATAAATTTCGGATTTTTTGGATAAAATCTATACCAAATTTTGTTTAATTGTTAGTTTTACAAAGAGCCTGAGTAATTTAATAAACAGTACGGTAAAGATCAGAGACCACAGTCCTTTAATTAATGTCCAGTCAAAACAGCCACTAAGTACAAGTTATTCAATTTTCAAGAACAGGTAAAAAAACAAAAGCAGAAAACACACATTTAACAGAAAATCACATACAAACAAGAAAATATGCAATATTTTTGTCCACTCTTCACCTTCATTCCAGCTTCCATTCTTTTCAGGAGACTCTCTTTCAGTTCCTCAAAGAATCTGCAGACACACCTCCAAAGTTCAGTCTTAGAAGCTGGTTGATCATTTTCTGAAGTAATCAAACACATTCAGTGGTGTTGAGGTCTGGACTCTGGGGTGGTCAGTCCATCGTTCAGCTTCTTTGTTTGATGTGTCCGTCTCCTTTTCTCAGTGAGGTTCTTCTTGATCAGCTACACATCCTTTCAGACCCACAGCGCTGAGTCGTCTTCTCACAGTGGAAGGATGGACAGAAACACCTGTGGATGTTTTCAGATCTGAAGCAGCTTGATTTTCTCCTCTCTCTCAGAGATGAAAGCTTTAAGTGCTGTTTATCTGATGGGGGCAGTTTTGGGGTCGACCAGCTCTTCCAGGTGGTTGTTAGGAGCCCCATTTTCTCTGTTTCCAGTTTTAGAAACTCCTGTTTTTTCCCTTGTTTTCCTTTGACTTTCTCCTTCGTTATGCAAGTGGATTATTATATCTAATCTCCTCGAAAACATCCTGAAAAAAGAACAATTCTTACTAAATGGCTGTTTTGACTGGAAATTAAATGAATGTAGGGTGGTCAGTGTGCAGAACTCTATAAATCTCCACTTTCTAAAACAATCTTTGGCTGTATGTCTTCATGTTTTTAAGCAGTGAGAGATCAGAGGGCGCTGAGAGAAGTGTGAAGAATTGCTATGAGGGCGTGAGTTAATTAGCAGATAGTGACCTATGAACCAGCGCTGAAATGTGTTAATGATGGCGACGGCGTGACGGGTTGCGCTAATGGTGATGATGACAGCATGACTCTGAGTGTTCTCTGGCCCTAACAGGAGCGTCAGATGCTGCTGATGAGTGATATACTCGTCCATGACAGCAAATCAGGCGCCTGCCTTAATGATGAGCAGAGATCCATGCTGGCCAACTTCAATCACAGAGGAGCCAATATCGCCCAGCGCAAGAGCAAACGGTACACAGAGGCTTAGTGAGCTCATTACTGTACTGCATGTATTCCGCCCATCAAAGGGATCATAATACCAATACAAATCTGTCAGTTTGCAGTAACATATTGAAGGGGAACTCCACCCACTTTTCAAAATTTCTGCATTATTGAGTGGTTAAGATGTAAAGTCATTCAGAGTGGTTTGGTGTGAAACGCTCTGTTCTAGAGAAACCTAGAGTCAGAACTGTTCACAGTGGTGGTGATAGGAACCAGACGTCCACCTCTAAAAGCTCCCTCACAGAAACTTACTACATGAAATGGTATTGAATTCACTGCCTGATGACTGAGACACTGTTTTATGATAGTTTTGAGAAGAATTTGGAAAACATATATATATATATATATATATATATATATATATATATATATATATATATATATATATATATATATATATATATATGTATATATATATATATATATATATATATATGTATATGTATTTGTGTCATGGTGGACGGATACATGCAGGATGTTGTGAGGTTAAATAGTTTTCAAATAAAACTTATTATTCCAGATTTTCCACTATTTTCCATCATCAACATTCCATATAAACTCAGAAGACTCGTGTAGGTTCACTGGTGGTTTTGGATAGTAAATAAAATGTCTATATCTGTGTTGTAGTCATGGCGACCCCTGGTTCCTATCACCACCACTGTAAAGACATCTGAACCATTTCACACCAAACCACTCTGAATCTCTCTGTTTACACGTCACACACTCAATTAAGCAGACATTTAGAAAAAAAAAAAACAGCTTTTAGAGGTGGACGTCTGGTTCCTATCACCACCACTATGAACAATTCTGACTCTGTTAGTTTCTCAAGAACAGAGCGTTTCACACCAAACCACTCTGAATGACTCTGTTTACACCTTAACCACTTAATTATGCAGAAATGATGCAGAAAAATCAGTAAAATTCCACTTTAGCTGAAGTGAAAAACAAATATTTGTTCAAAAGAGGGCAAAGAGACTCCAAATGGACATGTGTAGGTGCACGTCTGACTAATTCATCTCCCAACAGGTTATCGGTCATTGATGAGTCCTCGTTCCTGTCTCACTCAGACATCAGCTACGACCGAACTGATGATGACCTGGTAAATACAGCATACGAGTTAATTATCAGGCATCAGCATGTATTCTGTTTTTGTGCGGAGACGGGTAGAGGGAGTTGACACTGCACTCAAGTTAAAGTATTGTTAATTAAATTAATTAATAACTTAATTAATGAAGTAGAAGGAACAGCAGCTTCAGAAAACAAACCAAACAAAGTAGCAGCTCAAAAACTACTTAAAGGGCCGTACCCTACATTTTACTTGTTTTATTTTTGTGTCCCTGATGTCCACAAATGATATTTGTGTCATTTTTAGCACTGAAATGCTCATCATTCTTTTCTACATGACCATTTTGCAACTTCTTTTTATCCCTTAGAACTAAACACGTTTTTTTGATACGGCACAGTTAATACTGATAGATGTAAATGAGCTCTGTTCTGATTGGCTGCCCTCTACTATACCCTGTTTAAAAAGCGATCCCTCTGAAACACCCTTTATAACTTTGGTGTGAATGAGTGGGGCTAAAACTGCTGTAGGCAGAAGGTGGATGCATGTAATTGTGCTGTTTTTGTGACATCACAAAAACAATGAGTTCAAAATAGGCCTTAGTTTCCTCATATGAGCCGCAGGAGATGGGGAGAGACTGGAATGTTCTGCAACTTTAACAATGTTAACATGCAACGTCAAACTATTTGATGCAAAGTAGTAAATATATATATATATATATATATATATATATATATATATATATATATATATATATATATATATATATATATATAATATAGTCTTTTGTTGTTTTTTTTTGTTTTTTGGGGGGTTTTTTGGGCCACTATTGTCACTATTTGGGCCCTTTAAGTACACTGTATAGACAAAAGTATTGGGACACCCCTCCTAATTATTGAATTCAGGTGTTTTGGCCACACCCCTTACTAACAGGTGGATAAAATTCAGCACATATCCTTGCAGTCTCCATAGACACACACGGGCAGTAGAATGGGTTGTACTGAAGAGCTCAGTGACTTTAAACAAGGCTCTGTCATGTGATGCCTCCTCTGCCACAAGTCAGTTAGTGACATTTCTGTTCCAGCATGACTGAGCCCCAGTGCACAAAGTAGCTCCATAAAGGCTTGACTGGGTGAGTTTGGTGTGGAAGAACTTGACTGGCCCTCACAGAGCCCTGACCTCAACCCCATCCAACACCTTTGGGACGAACTAGAACAGAGATTGTGAGCCAGGCCCTCTCGTCCAACATCAGTGTCTGACCTCACAAATGCTCTTCTGGATAAATGGGCAGAAATTCCCACAGACTCTCTCCAAGATCTTGTAGAAGCTTCCCAGAAGAGTGGAAGCTGTTAGAGCTGCAAAGGGGGACCAACTCCATATTAATGCCTATGGATTTAGAGTGAGAGTCATAAAAGCTCCTGTAGGTGTCCCAATACTTTTGTCCATATAGTGTAAATGTAACTGGCTACCAGCCAACTCTGTTTGTACTGTTTCCAAGATATTAAGCTGTCAAATCCTGTAAAATAAACTTTTTTGTTTGTTTCATGGGCGGCGTGTCTGCAGGACTTGGACAGCACAGCGGTGGTGAAGCCTCTGAAGTCGAGAGCTCGTGAGAAAAGAGTAAGTGCCCACCGAATCGCGCTGAGGGTCCTCCTGGCACGCAGCGCTCTGAGCTCCAGGCTCTTTCTGCTCTGCTCAGAGTTGTTTCCTTCTTTTCTCTCTGAATGTTGCGAGTCATAAAAGTGGTAGTGTGTGTGTGTGTGTGTGTGTGTGTGTGTGTGTGTGTGTGTGTGTGTGTGTGTGTGTGAGTGTGTGTGTGTACATGCCTGCTGGTCTTGGTGGAGGCTGTTAGGAGAGAAAAGCTGTGGTGCTGTGTTTCAGCGCTCCTCCATGGGGCCCAACGTTGGAGTTCAGATGCAGAAGCGTGGACGACTCGGCGGCCGCTCTGGAGACCTCCTCGCGGGACGGCAAATGGAAAAGGTGAAGAGGTTTATCGATCTGGATCTTGGCCATTTGATGAAATGCATTGCTCTCCCTGAACACTTACAAACAGCACACATCATCCAAAATCAAAGATTCATTTTTTGAAAAAAGAGATGAATTATATAAATAGTGCCAAACCAAATGAATTATGAATACGTTTGAAAACCATACCACTCTACCCAGTCCATACAGTTCAGATAGGACTGTTAGAAAATCTTGAAATCAACATGTTCAACAATACAAAACAAATTTGATTTCAGATTATTCAAATAATTTCAGTCCTGTGTAAATAAGTTTTAATAATAACAAGTAACAAACAGTAACAATGTAGAAATTTTAGATGTTTCCAGAATAATGAACAAAACTGTAAAAGATTCTAAAATGAAAATAAACATCCAGAGTGACGTTCTAGTAAAATTAACGCCCAGAATGAAGTTCTAATAAAAATAAGAAACGTTCTAGCTGTTTTAAATTCATTTTAACAGAGAATAAAAAATACATAAGCCATATTTGGCCAAGACGTGTGAAGTCCTGTAATAGCTGATTTCTGTGACTCGGTTAAAGCCCAGTCCTAAAGGGAAAATTAAAAAATGGTGGAATTATTTCTGCATAATTAAAAATGTAAACAGAGTCGTTCAGAGCGGTTTGGTGTGAAACGCTCTGTTCTAGAGAAACTTACTGAGTCAGAACTGTTCACAGTGGTGGTGATAGGAACCAGACGTCCACCTCTAAAAGCCCCCTCATAGAAAGTTACTACATGAAATGGTTATGAATTCACTGCCTGATGACTTTTTTATGATAGTTTGTGTTGTAGTCATGGCGACCCCTGGTTCCTATCACCACCACTGTAAAGAAATCTGAACCATTTCACACCAAACCACTCTGACTGACTCTGTTTACATCTCACACACTGAATTATGCAGATAATTATGTATGACCGAACTGATGATGACCTGGTAAATACAGCATACGAGTTAATTATCAGGCATCAGCATGTATTCTGTTTTTGTGCAGAGACGGGTAGAGGAAGTTGACACTGCACTCAAGTTAAAGTGTTGTTAATTAAATTAATTAATAACTTAATTAATGAAGTAGAAGGAACAGAAGCTTCAGAAAACATACCAAACAAAGTAGCAGCTCAAAAACTACTTAAAGGGCCCGTACCCTACATTTTACTTGTTTTATTTTTTTGTCCCTGATGTCCACAAATGATATTTGTGTCATTTTAAGCACTGAAATGGTGGTGATAGGACACAGACGTCCACCTCTAAAAGCTCCCTCACAGAAAGTTACTACATGAAATGGTTATGAATTCACTGCCTGATGACTTTTTTATGATAGATTGTGTTGTAGCCATGGCGACCCCTGGTTCCTATCACCACCACTGTAAAGAAATCTGAACCATTTCACACCAAACCACTCTGAATCACTCTGTTTACATTTCACACATTGAATTATCAGATAATTATGTATGAATCATAAGAATTTTTTTAATTGATCAAGGCCTGACTGAGATATCATTGGATTTATCGGCATCACTGCAAACCCCACCACTAAAACACCTCATAAAGTCTCTTTAAATGTTCTATAATAAAACCATATTGAAACATTTATCAGGTGCAAAAGGCTGCAATTAACTGTCTTGGTGAATATGTGATGACTTTTATTAGTGAAGTACTTTTACAGACAAATTTACCCCTCTTTAAAGGGGAAGTCCACCAATTTCTCAATTTCTGTTCAGTTTAGTGGTTGAGCTGTAGTCATTCAGAGTGCTTTAATGTAAAATGGTTCACTGTAGAGAAACTCACCAACTAAGATTTCTTTACATTTCATTAAATGTACCTTTAAAACAGGTCAATTTCCTGTTTTCCTGACTCATGGACGTGTTTCAAAGCTACATTTAAAGCAAAGTAAAGAAGTCATAGGTAAGTTAGTCTACAGAGAACCATCTCACATTAAAGCACTCTGAATAACTTGGTTTACATCTCAACCACTAAACTGAACAGAAATTCTGAAAAATCGATGGACTTCCCCTTTAATATAACAAGGTTTTCCTGTAGAGAATCAGCACCAACAGACCAAATTGGTCGTAATTGGTACTTTTACGACCAGTAAAATCCTTAAAGCCTAGCTGGGGAGCGTTTTTCACCCATTAGACAGAATTTAGTCCCGAGCAGGGCGGTTATGGCTTCCCGAGGCTGAATAAAATGCTTCCTGCTGGCTGATTCCTACAAGGCAGGGTTTGGAATCTGAGCGGTGGGAATAGTAGGGCACGGTTAGCAAAACATTAGGAGTGTCTAGTGGAACATAAAATTCCTCACTCAACTTTCGCTCACATTTTTCAGCCCCTTGTGTAAAATCCTACCGCCTGCAGCTCGGTGCCCCTTTCTGTGAGAGCTCTCGTTCATCAGTCTCGCGGCCTGCGGCTCCTTCTCGTCCTTTTCCTGCCCACCTCTCTGCTCAGGTGGAACCAGCAGCGGTCTGTATCGTTGTCTCTCTGCCTTCAATACGGCTCAGCGTCCCCCTCTCCAGCCCACGCAGATCACTCGGAGAGAACAGAGGCAATTCAGCACTTTGAGGAAGTCCATTTGTCCTCATATCGCTGTACTGAAGCTCCTGCATTGGCACTGTTCCCTCTGATATACACTGCAGACCGAAAGCGTTGAAGCAAGCTGTGATTTTTAAAAGATTTTACAGGTAAAGAGGAATTCCACTCAAAAATCCTCCATAATTCAGTGTGTGAGGTGTAAACAGAGTGATTCAGAGTGGTTTGGTGTAAAATGGTTCAGATGTCTTTACAGTGGTGGTGATAGGAACCAGGGGTCACCATGACTACAACACAGAAATAGACATTTTATTTACTATCCAAAACCACCAGTGAACCTACACGAGTCTTCTGAACTTTCATATAAGTAGTGATAAATCTGAAAAAAAAGGTTTCATTGGGGACTATTTTGCCTCACAGTGCTATTACTAACAATAACTATTGTAAAGGCACCACACAGTGAATTCATAACCATTTCCTGTAGTAACTTTCTGTGAGGGAGCTTTTAGAGGTGGACGTCTGGTTCCTACCACCACCACTGTGAACAGTTCTGACTCTGTAAGTCTCTCTAGAACAGGGTGTTTCACACCAAACCACTCTGAACGACTCTGTTTACATCTCAACCATTTAATTATGCATACATTTTGAACATTTTGCTAAAGATCATTTGGATAAGACAGAAGGCTATTGGAACAATGTTTTGTGGACAGATGAGACCAAAATAGATCTTTTTGGTATAAATGAGAAGCGTTATGTTTGGAGAAAGGGAAAACATTGTATTCCAGCATATAACCTTATCCCATCTGTGAAACATGGTGGTGGTAGTATCATGGTTTGGGCCTGTTTTGCTGTATCTGGGCCAGGATGGCTTGTCATCATTGATGGAACAAAGAACCCACCAAATTCTAAAGGAAATGTCAGGACATCTGTCCGTGAGCTAAAGCTCAAGAGAACATGGGTCATGCAGCAAGACATCGATCCTACACACCAAGTCGTTCTACCAAAGAACGGTTAAAGAAGAGTAAAGTTAATGTTTTGGAATGACCGAGCCAGAGTCCTGAAGCAGTAGTTCTTGGGAGGAAACCCACCAACATAACAGAGCTGGAGCTGTTTTGTACAGAGGGCTAAAACTCCACCAGCCCGATGTTCAGGACTAATCAACAGTTACCAGAATCGTTTAGTTGCGGTTGTTGCTGCACATGGGGGTCACACCAGATACTGAAAGCAAAGGTTCACATACTTTTGCCACTCACAGATATGGAATATCGGATCATTTTCCTCAGTAAATAAGTGACCAAGTCTATTTTTTTTTGTCTTCTTGGTTTAATTTGGTTCTCTTTATTTACTAAAGGACTTGCGTGAAAATCTGATGAAGTTTTAGGTCAAATTTATGCAGAAATATAGAAAATTCTAAAGGATTCACAAATGTACAAGTACCACTCCGTGGTGTTTGTGTGGTTTTATGTAGCAAAAACATTTAAAAATATCCTTTTCCAACCTACAGTACTATCTTCTGATTGGCTGCCCTATGTCATGCCTTTTTCAAAAAGCAGTATGTGCTAAAACATTCAGTTCAGTGTGAATGGGTGGGGCTAAACTGCTGTAGGCTGAATAAGCAGATGTTTGTATTAGAGTTTTAGATACCAGGGGGGAAAAATGCATAAATTATAATGAGCTGTAACTTTTGCACAGGGCACCTTTTATGGTTGTTTTTTTGTTTGTTTATTTGTTTGTTTGTTTTTTTCCCCAAAAAGTTTAAATAAACAGTAACTGTGTATTAAAATGACCAGAAGGGTGTTCTCTGTAGAGGATCTGTTCACTTATTTACACTCAGGAAATGAACATAAAATTTGGGGTGCACAAACTTTTGCAAATACATACTACATTAAGTGCCTCCAAAAAAGTGAGAGGTTTGTTTTTCTATAATATGGATCCTCTGAAGTTAAATAAATGTTTTCCTTCACCTACAAAGTCCTACATTTCTTGTTTTACTTTATTTAGGAAACTGAGTCGACAGTTGTCACAGCATCCGTCACTACGCCGGACAACGGCGGTCAGATCCACATGGTGATCGACATCACCCAGGAGACTCCAGAGCCACCGGCCAGGAGCAGAACCGATCTCCTGCCGTCCATCAGCGGTAAATCACAGTCCCACCCTGATCTGTCAGCGCGAATGGTCCAGCGCTCAGAGACGGTGTGCGTTACGGAGCAGACGTCAGTGTGGGCTCCCAACGATGTGACCGAGGCTGAGACCGTTATTGAGGTGGAAGTGACCCCTCCAGAGTCCAGACTCACTCCAGATCTCACTCCTATTGTGGACAAAACGCTACAGCACGTATTCCTGCCCAAAACTGTAAGAGCTCCTCTACTTACTTACCTTTTACTCAGCAGGCAAAATCTGGGGACACGTTAGCTGTGTCCCAATTCAGGGGCTGCATCCTTCGAAGGATAGACCCGTGAAGGCTGAACTGAAATGAGACAGTCTGCTCTACGGATTTCCTGTTTGTGTCACAGCACTGCTGTTCCCGCCCTTACCGCTGCGTCACGAAACGCCGCTCCTGTCAGGTTCTTTTAAAGTTCTTTAAAGACGGAGAAACTTTGATTTTAGTTTTTATCTTTTCATTTATTACAGCTGGAGATGCTTCTCTCTGTCGGCTCTTTGCTTCCTAAAACAAAACAAAACGAAGTTTTTTACTTTAGACCACATTGGCCTTGTTCACATTTGTATCGTTCGCTATTCGACTCAGTTTAAACTCAATACTTAAATTTAAAGCGTGTCCTCTGCTGCCATTCGCTCCTCTGCTGACGCCGGCATGTTCTCGAATCCTCACCGGTACGCAGTGAGCCTTGGGATATGTTGGCTGGCGAAGGATCCACCAGTTGTCATGGACAAGAAGGACACATTTCTCGGCCACATATGAAGGAGCCTTCGAAATGGGACAGCCTAGTCGCACCGCTGTGACGCAATCGGCCTTCAAATGCAGCCTACGAAGGACACAGCCCCTGAATTGGGACACAGCTATCATCTTCTTTTAGCCCCAGAGATCATGTTTTCTTTTTAAGCAGGTTGATCTTCCCTGCAGAAAAAAAACATTAAAACCTTTAAACGTTTAAGGGTTTTGTAATGTGTTTTGGCTATTTTTATGAGTTGATATTACAATGTAAGTCATCCTACTGCTTTAATCAATGGTGACCAATAACTGATTCCAAATGCATTTGATGGTTTCCTAATTGGGTCTAAAGGTATTCTACAGGAAAATAGTGGGAAAATAGTGGAAAATAGTGGAAACCATTAAGCCAATTCCAATTGGAAAGCAAAACTGTTAGATTTTAGTCCTAATGGTTTCTTACAGTCGTTTTTCAGCAGGGTTGATCTTGTGGACATCCTAGAAACATCTACAAAATTTCCAGTGCTCAGTAAATGGCTGATGTGTTTAGCTCCTCTTTCGGTCCTAAACTGGGGTCATGCATACATAAGCAATATCCCCACCAATGACGAGGCTGATTGTGTCCCTCCCACTCAGTTTTACAAAACTCTGTTCCCAGCGTTCTCTCTGTTCGAGTCAGAGAGAAAGGACCACCAAGCGAAGGCTAATCTGGCCTAACTGAGCTGTCAGACCGTCTTATCTGTCTGTCTACTGTTTAGTCATTCATCTGTAAGCCTGTCTATTTGTTTATTTTCTTCCATCCGTTTGTCTGTCCATCCACCCTTTGATCCCTCTGCTGGTTCGTTTCTTCAAGCACATATTCGTTGTCAGACTGAAAACCTTGTATCTCCAAACTTTTCAGGGGAAGGAGAAACGTTTTTGAACTTCAGCATTAATAGTTGAATTAAAAAGGCTTTATTCTAGAACTGTTTTTGGTGCTATAAAGATCCCTTTTCAAAAAGGTTCTATATAGAACCATACAGAGGAGGGAACAAGTCACTAAGTTGCAAGTAACAAGTAAGTCTCAAGTCTTCATATTCAAGTCCCGAGTCAAGATAGTTGAGTCTCGATTCAAGTCCCGAGTCGCTACAGGCGAGTCTCAAGTCGAGTACCAGGTACTATAGCCTTTTAATGACAGCACATTGGCAGTGTATGGCTGTGTATTATTTTGTTTATTATTTTATTTTATTTTATTTTATTTTATTTTTAATTAATTAGTTAGTTAGTTTGTTTGTTGGGGGGGGCACGGGTAGCGCTGTCGCCTCACAGCAAGAAATGCCTGGGTTCGATTCCTGGCCGGGTGACCAGGGTCCTTTCTGTGTGGAGTTTGCCTGTTCTCCCCGTGTCTGCGTGGGTTTCCTCCGGGTTCTCCGGTTTCCTCCCACGGTCCAAAAACATGCAGTCAGGCCAATTGGACATGCTAAATTGCCCCTAGGTGTGAATGTGTGTGTATGTCTGTTGTCTGTCTGCCCTGCGATGGACCTGCGACCTGTCCAGAGTGTATCCTGCCTTTCGCCCAATGACTGCTGGGATAGGCTCCAGCACCCCACCGCGACCCAGAAGGATAAGCGGTTTAGATGATGTATGTGTGTGTGTGTGTGTGTGTGTGTATGTGTGTGTGTATGTGTGTGTGTGTGTATGTGTGTGTGTGTGTGTGTGTGTATGTATGTGTGTGTGTGTGTGTGTATATTATTTTTTTACCCTTCCAACTAAAATACAAGATCCATGTTACACAGATAACCATGAAAGACATACTGTATATACAAAGAGTAGTGCAACTACACACAAAAAGAATTTTAAAAATACTACTGAAAAAAAAAACTTTATATTTAATAATTGATATTTTTGATGATTTTTGGGAACATTGGGCACACAGGATTAAAATAAAAACTAACTCTAAAGCACTAAAACAAGTTCAGCCAACTAAAAACGACCAATAGTTTAAATTGAATTTAGACAACGGAACCCAAAACAACCGAGCTGTTTACAGAAAAGACAGCAAAGTGATGGTGAATGTACGAAGCTGATGTCGACTGTTTTTGCCAGCAGCTTCTTATTCCAATTTTCCCTTCCATCTTAAACGGTGCAGCAGTTACGTTCCGGCGCCTGACCACTGCACCATTTAAGGTGGAACAGCAAGTTCCAGTATGAAGCTCCTGAATATAGTCAACTTCAGCCTCGTGGTGAATGTTGTGCTTGTTTTACCTGCAGAAGCTATTAAAATCAGTCAAATAGAGATACTGTGTTTCTTCTGTTTTGCTAAGAGGTACATTTCTCGTTCATCAAGGTACAAACAGTGTAAATGTTCCCTCAAAGCTCCAACAGTGGTTTTAAGGTCTGATTGTGAACCTTAAATAAGTTTTTCCAGGTGAAAAGTTCGTATTTGTACCTTTTCATAACCGAATGTTTTAAACAGAACAGTAAAATAAAAGCCTGGAGACGAGACGGGGTGTGTGGAGTCAGTACAGCTTAGAACATATCATTTCAGTGGATTATGGTTCAGTTATGTTCCCTGACTAAAGGTACTGAGATGGAGCCTTGAGGGTTCCACCCCAGTGACAGTTTAGTCCCTTTATTCTTAGAGCGTAGACGAAAGTGGTGAGGCCAAGCGGAGGAGGACTTGTTAATACCAGACAGTCAGTGGATGCAAGAACTTTGTGAAATTGCATTATGTGAATGTTTTCTGTATTCCAGCGAGGAAAACAGCGTTCATGGTTTGGTAGGAATAGAGCTGTTTTGGTGTGAAAAGTTCTGAAAAAGAGAATTTGGTACTGAAAATGCTCGATAGCAAATCAAAAAGCTGGGTGCTGACATCACAACAAGGGCGTAAAATGTGTGGCCTCTGACTTTATTCCCAAAGTAGTGCTGTCATTCATGCTGGCACAAATATTTACTTATGTATTTGTGCCTGTACTGTTATTATTGATTAAGCTTTCAGATGTTCAGTTACTGCAAGCTAGCAAAAATATTTGGAAAATCTAGTCATCCCTAACTTTTCATGTGCTGTACAAAAACTGGAGATACCCTGTTTTTTTATTTCTGTTTGTTTATTTGTTTGTTTGTTCATGTGTCACTAGGTCATCCGCCCTGAGACGTGCATTCCCTGCGGGAAGAGAATCCGTTTTGGGAAGGTGGCGGTGAAATGCCGTGACTGCCGTGTGGTGGCCCATCCCGAGTGTAAACACATGTGTCTGGAGAGGTGTTCCCCCAATGCACACGGCAACTCTCATCCCAGTGAGGTACCATCATATATACATGCTGTATCATATACCAGTCCAAAAGTATCCAGACAGCCTTTTTAATGAGTGAATGAGTCATTTTAAACTTTTACTTTCTAACCACCTCCACTCTGCAACTGCCTGATTTTCACTATTATCGTCTTTAATTTTAGTTATTTTATTTTTTTCCCCATTTATTTGTTTATTTATTCTTTTATTATTATTCATATTCTTGTTTTAATTATGATTATTTTATTATTATTTCAGTCATTTTAATTAATTTGTTTCCTTTTGTTTTATTTGTCTTCTTTTGATTTTATTAACTTTCACATTTCAGTTACGCTTTAATTATTGTTTTATATTTTCTACTGTTTTTTATGTATTTATTATTTTTTTACTTAACTGATTTGAGTCATTTTTATTAATAAATTTACTTTTATTATTTGATATTATTTTACATGTTCTCAATCCCTTTTCCCTGTATCAACTGGGCAGTATTGTAAATAAGGGTCACCCTCAATGTTCTCCAAGGTTAAATAAAGGTTGGTTCATTGATTGATTGAATTCAGGATGAGCACACATTACTGACATTCAGTAAAGCCCCCCAGCATTGGGCTGTGGAGCAGTGGAACTGTGTTCTCTGGAGTGATGGAGCTCCATTCGATACCTTTGGGATGAGTTTGTGATCCAGAACTGACCACCTAACATCAGTACCTGACCTCACTAATGCTCTTGTGGCTGAATGCGGTCAAATCCTCACTGCTGAACATGCTCAGGTCTAAAGAGATGTAAATACAGGCAAACTTGTCTACCTGTTCCTACCCTAGTGCTGGTAGGGGTGGAACAGACTCTCAGTCAGACATTAGTGGGCTAAACTCAACAATTCATAGTGTTCGACTGCGTCATTAAGAAGAGCCCGTCTCCATGTTGGTAGAGCTGTAGCTCTGACTGTGCTCTGACTGAGCTTGTCTCATCACTGTTACTGCAGATACAGCCCTGCAGGTGGATAAACACCAATAAAACAGTCCAGAATGACCACAAAAAAGAAGGTATTAGGACACTTTAATTGTGTCTCTAAAAAAACACTACAAGGAGAACATTAGCCAGATTGGTGGACTGGATCTGGACCCATATAACCAGCATTTCTCCAGAGTTCAGAACATTACAGTGCGTGAGATTTAATAAAAACACTAATAAAAGTGGCTACAAAACTGCCAAAGCTCTTAAATAATAAACTCAAACACAGATATAAAGCTGAAGTCAGCTTCTTATTCACCAGCTTCTCATTTGAAGTTTCCATTCCACCTTAAAGGTGCCTTAAATATAGAACGAATTATGAAAGTTGGCAAATACCTTAATACCTCAGCTCAACCTCAATAAATGCATTAATGTGCCTCAGTAACTGAATTAATTTACCCCAATAAACATTAATTTGCCTCAGTAAATGTATTAGTTTGCCTGAATAAAGGCTCCTTAATCATCAAACCCCTCAAGCTTCCTCTGGGAGGTGTTTGAGGAGCAGCTAGCGAGCAGTTCAGCAGAGCAGCTGTTGATCGCGTCTCGCTGGCTGATCTAATGCCGCGTCCCAAACACACACTTCTGTACTTCACCTACTGCACTAATGAGTGCACTTCTAATGGGATATGCACTATTTTTTCACACTGTTTAGTGAGCTAGTATGCAGTTTGGGACGGGGAGCTAAAAACACAGCGGGAAATCTCAGCCATTTAGATTTCAGCTTTCATTTATTATTAATCACTACAGAAACCAATCAAATAAAATCAAGGCAGTGCACTCAAGTATATCGGTTAACACGCTTAAAAATTAAATTTAAAAAGTGATAAATGTTTTATTGCCTTTGCTGGATCAGTTATGGCTTTATCTCATTATGAACTGTCACAGCGTCGCTGAATGAACTTGATGTTGCTACCAAAATGGTGGTGTGGATGGTAGTGATGTCATCGGAATACTATCTGTAGGAGCCCTTCTGGGGTAGTAAAGGCAATGCTGACTATTACTGCCTTTCTGATTTTCCTTTTTGTTTGATTGTTTGTTTTTAGGAGACCTTGGACAGCTTTGCTCCATCCACAAGGCCCAGAGTTCCAGCCCTGATCGTCGAGTGTGTTAAAGAGATCGAGAGAAGAGGTCTGGACGAGGTGATGTGCTTCTTATTCCTATCAGAGTAACTCCTGAGTTTAGCTTCTCCACAGTGTTAAACACTGTTGTGAAATTGAGGGATGGGGGAACAATTCTTCTTTACTTTTTACTGAAAACAAACATGTACACAGTTGAGTATGTATTGTAGCGTTTACTGCTATTAAGAGACGCAGCTTCAGCACAAGAGTTTCTCTTTATTAACATCACGTTTGCTACTCAGCTCACATCTGACTCTCTCAGCTCTCTGCTCACACATACCAGGAAGCCCCCCCCCCTTCCCTCCACAATAAGAGTCCTATATATATATAATTTGCCTGAATAAAGGCAAATACTTTGTTAGTGTGCGTTGCGCTGGTACGAGTGGATCAGACACAGCAGTGCTGCTGGAGTTTTTAAACACCTCAGTGTCACTGCTGGACTGAGAATAGTCCACCAACCAAAAATATCCAGCCAACAGAGTCCTGTGGGCAGCGTCCTGTGACCACTGATGAAGGACTAGAGGATGACCAACACAAACTGCGCAGCAGCAGATGAGCTATCGTCTCTGACTTTACATCTACAAGGTGGACCGACAAAGTAGGAGTGTCTAATAGAGCGGACAGTGAGTGGACACAGTGTTTTAAAACTCCAGCAGGACTGCTGTGTCTGACAAACAAACACAGGCTAACAAAGTATGCAGAGAACTGTAGAACTACAAAGTGCACCTATACAGTAAGTGTATAGGTGCACATATATATATATATATATATATATATATATATATATATATATGTATATGTATATATATATGTATGTATGTATGTATGTCACACCATCAGAGTAGTTTTGTTTACCCTGCTGAAAAAACCCATAGAAACCGTAGTGTGGTTGATATCACAGCGTAAAGGACCCTAATGGTTTAACAGGTGACTAATGGCTGATACTAAATGCATTTAATGGCTTCCTAATGGGACCTAAAGATGCTCTCTATTGGAAACCATTAAGCCAATTCCCATTAGAAAGCAAAACCATTACAATTAAAACCTAATGGTTTTGCTTAATGGTTTCCAAAGGAGCCCTCTAGTTTCCAGTAGAAGACCTTTAGATCCCATTAGGAAACCATCCAATACCATTTAAGAGTCAGCCATTGATCTCCTGTTAAACCATTAGGATCCTTTACACTCTGAAACCTAATGGTAAAGTAGCTAACAAGGTTTCATCTTAATTGTTCTAATGGTCCTTTTTCAGCAGGGTAATCAGTTTGTTTAGTGTGATGTGTTGTTGAGCTTCCCGCTCATAAATATCTGCTCTGCTTCTTCTCCACTTTGTGAAACCTGTCGCTCCACCGTCTGAGTGCAGCCTAAACCCTGACTGCTTTTGGACTCGGGATGCCGAAGGTGTCTTGACTGTGGTTTTGTGTGCCGGTGCTGCAGAAGGGTCTGTACCGCGTGCCGGGTGGAGAGCGGACGGTGAAGGAGCTCCGGGAACGCTACATTAGCGGCAAAGGGTCGCTGATGCTCCGCAAAGTGGACGAGGTCCACGTCGTCTGCGGCCTTCTCAAAGACTTCCTGAGGAAACTCAAAGAGCCTCTCGTCACCTTCAAACTCCACAGAACCTTCATGGACGCTGCTGGTAATGTTCTCATCTTAATTTGATGACTAACGTCTTCGTTCTTAGTTCAGCAGAAAATGCAAATTACACTGAAACGGTCCCCAAATCACTAAACCCTACATTTGAAAATCTATTGCACTGTTTTCAGACACCACTACAAAAAGGCAGAACCCCAAAATAGTGCAGTGTATAGTGAATAGGACACAGTTACAGACGCAGCTGCTCCACTTCAAATGTTGTCGAGCAACCATGACATGTTTGATGGCTTAAGTTTGCTTCTTTAGTTTTAGCACTTGAGCTGTTCAGTGTAACAGACAGAGGGTCAGTTTAACACCTGCTAGAAAAGTCTGATCAGTCAGTGCAAACAGAGTTAATTCAGTATAATTCTGTGTTTTAAAAAACAAAGATATTTTCCAACCAAACTGCATTATATATTATCTATAAGACTTACATGCCCTGAAAACTCTCTTTAGCTCAGATCTCTTTACAACGCTGACCAGTATCTCTGAATTTTGGTGGGAGATGGTGGCTAGGAAATAATTTACTTTTGTTTATCACCTGTCTGTAAAGCACTTTGAGCTGACACTGGTTTGAAAAGTGCTTTATATTTAGTTATTATTGTTATTATTATTATTATTATTATTACTATATATATATATATATATATAATATTTTTTTATTTATGTCATACAGTCAGAAACCACGTAAGAGATTGCTATTAGAGATTACGTTAAGGGCCTGTATTGTGGAAAACTGATCTTTCCTTGCTTTTTTCAAAATAAGAGTTTGTCATATGTAAACAGTTAGTGTTAAAGCTTTCAGACACACCCCCAACCCCCCCAGTCCATACAGTCCATATATGAAAACTAAGCTGCCATTTTGAATTCACTGTTTTTGTAATGTCAAAGAAAACAGTGCATTTAAAAATATACCCACCTCTTCCACCTACAGCACTTTAGCCCCACCCACTCACACTGAAGTTATATGGAGTGTTTCAGCCTGGACTACTTTTTGAATGAGGTGTAATATAGGGCAGCCAATCAGAACAGATCTCATTTACATATATTAGTCTTAAAGGCACAGTAAGAAGAACAGCCTGTTTAATTGTAAGGGATAAAGAGAGGTTGGAAAATGACTAAACATGAATTACGACAGAAATTAGTACATAAAACCACATAAACAATTCTTTAGGCACTAAAGGATGATTCAGGCATGCAGTTGGCACATTTGCAGTAAGAGGGAAATTGTGTAAATTAGATTTTTTGATCTTTTTTTAAGTCTTTTTTGGGGTGGATATCCTAATGATCATCCAGCACTTGGCATTTCTCTGCTGCAGGCATGATTTCATACATTTTGTATGGATATTTACTCCCATCCAGCTCTGCGAAGGCCAAATCTGACCAGATCCTGATGACTCTAAAAACAAATCTGAACATTTAGTTTGTGTTGACTTGGTTTCAGCCTGTTTGCACTCTTGAATGAGGCTAAATGGTGAAATTAGGGGTTCAGCATCTCCCTCTTGGATTATGAACTGGGATGGATGTCATCGAGAGCTAAATTGTTGAGCTTCTTTTGGACGCTAATGTTTTTTTAAGCATGTAAATCAGTCACCCCTGCTTACCCCGCTGTTCCTGCGCTCCGTCTTTATAAGGCTTGAGGCAGAAAACTGCTTTATCCCCACAAAGTCAGAGCACATAGAGATGGAGGTGATTGATTCCTCTCTCAGTGTCTGTTTTATTGTTCTGCCTCGTACGGGAGCCGGAGCATTTTAAAATCCGAACATGGAGCTTATTTAAGGGGGGTTTAAATCCGTTTCCACGGCTGCCTCAGACTCACGGCTTTCTGTCACTTACAGAAACGGCGGACGATGACAACAGCTCGGCGATGATGTTTCAGGCTATCGGAGAGCTGCCCCAGGCCAACCGGGAGACGCTGGCCTTCCTCATGCTGCATCTACAGAGGTCTTACTTACTGTTACACAGTTCTGCTGGCTGAAGGGCCCATATTATATATGAATGGGTGGGGCTAAACTGCTGTAGGCCGAATGGGAGGGGCTAAACTGCTGTAGGCCGAATGGGAGGGGCTAAACTGCTGTAGGCCGAATGGGAGGGGCTAAACTGCTGTAGGCCGAATGGGTGGGGCTAAACTGCTGTAGGCCGAATGGGTGGGGCTAAACTGCTGTAGGCTGAATGGGTGGGGCTAAACTGCTGTAGGCCGAGTGGGTGGGGCTAAACTGCTGTAGGCCGAATGGGTGGGGCTAAACTGCTGTAGGCTGAATGGTGGGGCTAAACTGCTGTAGGCTGAATGGGAGGGGCTAAACTGCTGTAGGCCGAATGGGTGGGGCTAAACTGCTGTAGGCTGAATGGGTGGGGCTAAACTGCTGTAGGCTGAGTGGGTGGGGCTAAACTGCTGTAGGCTGAATGGGTGGGGCTAAACTGCTGTAGGCTGAGTGGGTGGGGCTAAACTGCTGTAGCTGAATGGTGGGGCTAAACTGCTGTAGGCTGAATGGGAGGGGCTAAACTCCTGTAGGCTGAATGGGAGGGGCTAAACTGCTGTAGGCTGAATGGGAGGGGCTAAACTGCTGTAGGCTGAATGGGAGGGGCTAAACTGCTGTAGGTTGAATGGGCGGGGCTAAACTGCTGTAGGCTGAATGGGTGGGGCTAAACTGCTGTAGGCTGAGTGGGAGGGGCTAAACTGCTGTAGGCTGTATGGGTGGGGCTAAACTGCTGTAGGCTGAATGGGAGGGGCTAAACTGCTGTAGGTTGAATGGGCGGGGCTAAACTGCTGTAGGCCGAATGGGTGGGGCTAAACTGCTGTAGGCTGAATGGGTGGGGCTAAACTGCTGTAGGCTGAGTGGGAGGGGCTAAACTGCTGTGGGCTGAATGGGAGGGGCTAAACTGCTGTAGGCCGAGTGAGTGGGGCTAAACTGCTGTAGGCTGAATGGGAGGGGCTAAACTGCTGTAGGCCGAGTGAGTGGGGCTAAACTGCTGTAGGCCGAGTGGGAGGGGCTAAACTGCTGTAGGCCGAGTGGGTGGGGCTAAACTGCTGTAGGCTGAATAGGAGGGGCTAAACAAGTATAGGCTAAGTGGATGGGGCTATGTACACTGAATGAGGAGACTCTCTCTCTCTCTCTCTCTCTCTCTCTCTCTCTCAGGGTTATGCACAGTCCTCGGTGTCAGATGGATCGGAATAATTTGGCCTGTGTGTTTGGACCCACTATTATCGGACACGGCATGCCAGAGCCGTCACCGCTGACCATCATGAGGGACACCAACACGCAGCCCAAAGTTAGTGACCCAGTAAATCATCTCCCAGTTAAATCAGTCACTGTCCTGGACTCAGTTTACACTGAGAGTCTTATTCAGTGTTGACTGTAGCTTAACATAATTCAGGGACACACCTCGAGGTTTAATCCCACACATTCAGCCGTGTGCAAAAGTTTGAACACCCACAGTCGATGTACATGATTTTCTGAGTGTGAATAAGTAGATCCGCCCTCGATAAAGAACATACTTAAATAAGACCTGGTTCTGCAAACCTTAGTCCACAATGTCTGTTTATTTACTGACTTGAACATATTGCAAATAGATAAAACATAATTGATTAAATATGCCATAACTTTTGCACACTATGTATATTTTTTTCTGATGTATTCAATTCAGCAAATAAACTGTGCATTAACATGTGCAGTATAGTTTTCTCTATAGACGATGTGCTCAACATGACTAGGGGTGCCAAAACTTTTGCATACAACTGTATGTATAAAACCAAATATTATTATGTAAAGCTGTCATGGACTTAAATGAGATCTGTCATTTTTTCCCCCTCTTCCTTTGGAGGGAGTTATGTTTCATGTTTGCTGTTGTTGAAGATGGATGTTCTACTCTTGCCTGATTGGCTATCCCATCATGCACTGCGCAATGCTGCAGGTGGACACATTGTGTAAAAGTTTCTGGCATGACAGATTAGGAGTAAACTAAAATCAGCCAATAGAAAAGGAGGCCAAACGTAAGCCTAAGCTCACCATGCCCAGTGCCAAGCGTGGGCTAGAGGGGTCTAAAGCCCCCCAGCATTGGACTGTGGAGCAGTGAAACTGCATTCTCTGGAGTGATGGAGCTCCATCCAGTACCTTTGGGATGAGTTGGAGATCCAGAACTGACCATCCAACATCAGCACCTGACCTCACTAATGCTCAATCAAATCCTCACAGCAATGTTCAGACATCTAATGTAAAGCCTTCCAGAAGAGTAGAGGCTGTTACTGCAGCACAGACTCACTATTAATACCCTTCATTTCACAAGAGACTCTGGAAATATTGGAGATATTGTGTGTCTCGTCTGGTGCAGGTGGTCTCCCGGCTGCTCTCGTTCCCTTCAGATTACTGGAAAAGCTTCCTGACTGTGGAGAGTGACCAGGTCATTTCATCTGTGGTGGACGCCAACATCAGCAGAGCTGCTGCGAGCTCAGACCGAGGTAAGTTTGGATTTACTTCACTCGTGTGTTGTTTAGTCAGAACATACGGCCTGATTTTTTCAGGCTGCAGTGGCGCATATTATCAGTTATATCTGCGAGTGAACAGCCTCTTAAATACTGTATGTATTGTTTACAGTAGTAGTTCACGGGCAAACCAGATATTCTATGTATGAATTGATTTTTAATAGAGCAGCAACTGAAAACTGTGCCGATAGCAGCAGCAGGGGCAGCGTATCACAGCGGACAGTGAATTAAATTTCAGATTTTCCCAACTTTTCCCAACTTTTGCTGTCGGCTGCTGCAGTGGAACAAACTGAACGCTTATCCTTCTATCCATCCGTCCATCCATCCCTCCATCCAAACATCCACCCATACATACCCTGCAGACAGTTCAAGTCCATCTGAACATCCATACATACATGTATCTGTCAGTCCATCCATACTCTGACTCTGTATGTTACCTCGTCACTGCAAATCCATGTTTTGTTCTGTAAATTGTTTTTATTTCAAATATCTGAATATATGAAATGCATGCTTTTGCACCCCAATAGGACCAGCCCTGCCATACACACTCTTCAAAAAGATGGTTCTTTAAGGGTTCTTTAGTAAGAGCATGATTCTATGTAGAACCATGAACACTCAAAGAACCCTTTGCATGATTAAAGCCTTCTTTGCATCATGAAAGGGTTCTTAAGAAAGTGCTATAGATGGTTCTATATGGCACCAATAAGGGTTCTTAACCCTAACCCTTTTTTGGTGCTATATAAGCCTTTTCAATAAGGATCTATATAAAACCATACACAACCCATTCTTAAGAACCTTTTCATGATGGAAATCGTTAATCATGCAAAGGGTTCTGTGAGTGTTCATGGTTCTGCATAGAACCATTTTCTTTACTAAAGAACCCCTTTTTTTAATTGTGTAGTGTATTTGGCTTCGGTCTAAACACATTTCCTAAATACCTAGTCCACGTTTGCTTTAACTCGGCTCAAACTACTCCTGTAAAGGTGTGTTGGCGATCGAGGACAAAGCAAACTGTCTGGTGGGTCTCAGCACTGACTGGTGGAAGTCGGAAAGCTGGTTTAATAGAGACTTGATGAAGGATTCTTTGTCTCCTTCAGACCGGATGTTCAAGCCCGTGACCTCTCCTGAACTCAGTAAATACACCCGCACGCCGGGCAACGCCTCCATCAAGGGCAAGATCAGAAACCTGGGCAGCGCCTTCAACAACCCGTAAGTCACCCTCACTAACGCTGCACATTTGGCTGGGTTTGTCTTCAGTAGGAAAACCTGTGACACTCATGAAAACGCTGCTCCTTTGCAGAGGCAAACCCAGAACTGAACTAGGAAAGAAGAAGTTCTTCACTTCGCCGAAGTGACGGATGCAGAGCCTGCATGTATGCGTCTGTGAGACTCTGTACACACTGTTGTTCTTATACATATATATGTAGTGCTGCGATGCTCGGGTGATGACTCTGCCTCCACTGCTGAATGAACCACAAGCACATTTCTCTGGATTTATATGCAAAACGTTACAAGAGACTCGAGCAGAGGCAGCACTGCAGCCGCTCTAACACTAAAAGGGCAATTCCAGCATCTTTTTTTCCCCCCTTATTCTCTGCATAATGCAGCGTTTGAGATGTAAACAGAGTCATTCGGAGTGGTTTGGTGTGAAATGTTTCAGATGTCTTTACAGTGGTGGTGATAGGAACCAGGGGTCGCCATGACTACAACACAAATATAGACATTTTATTTACTATCCAGAACCACCAGTGAACCTACACCAGTCTTCTGAGTTTATATGGAATGTTGATGATGGGGACTGTTTTGCCTCACAGCACCCTGCATGTATCCCTCCACCATTTTAAGTTCTCAAAACTATTATAATGTCTCAGACATCAGGCAGTGAATTCATAACCATTTCATGTAGTAACTTTCTGTGAGGGAGCTTTTAGAGGTGGACGTCTGGTTCCTATCACCACCACTGTGAACAGCTCTGACTCTAAGTTTCTTTAAAGCAGAGTGTTTCACACCAAACCACTCTGAATGACTCTGTTTACATCTTCATCATTTAATTATGTAGACATTTTGAAGATTGAGTGGAATTTCCCTTTAAAGCACATCTGCTGTTGTTCTAAGCTTGGTCTGATTTGTGTCTTTTTGTCTTTAAAAGATTTTCGTAGCCAGATAATTTAAGCCTGTCCAACAGCAGGAGATGTGAGAGACACTGGAGTCAGGCAGATCTCACCTTTAGGCTCATCTACTTTCCAAGTTAGATGTCTTTTTTTTAAGAAAAATGTCTTTCTATGTGAAGAAAGTTCCAGATTTGACTGCCAGCTGAAACATTGGACTCTTCTGAAAATCAATTATACTAAATATACATACATTAAAAAATGAAAAAAAAATGTTACCAATATTAGCACTTGGGAAGCACTTTTGTTAAAAAAAATAAATAAACTTCATCCACTGATGTCTGTCTGTCTGTCTGTCTGCTTTTCTGTCTGCCTGCCTGCCTGTCTGTCTGTCTGCCTGTCTGTCTGTCTGCTTTTCTGTCTGCCTGCCTGCCTGTCTGCTTTTCTGTCTGCCTGCCTGTCTGCTTTTCTGTCTGCCTGCCTGCCTGTCTGTCTGTCTGTCTGACTGCCTGCCTGTCTGTCTGCTTTTCTGCCTGCCTGCCTGCCTGTCTGTCTGCTTTTCTGTCTGCCTGCCTGCCTGTCTGTCTGCTTTTCTGCCTGCCTGTCTGTCTGTCTGTCTGCTTTTCTGTCTGCCTGCCTGCCTGTCTGTCTGTCTGCTTTTCTGTCTGCCTGCCTGCCTGCCTGATTTTCTGTCTGCTTTTCTGTCTGCCTGCCTCCTTTTCTGTCTGCCTGCCTGCCTGCCTGATTTTCTGTCCGCTTTTCTGTCTGCCTGCCTGCTTTTCTGTCTGCCTGTCTGTCAAATCATTAGATTTTTGGCCACATGATGCTTCTGTAGCACATTAAACTCACTCATTATCTGTGTGCTGCTCTTTAAAGGCCCAAACCTTTCATCTCTCCTGTATTTTATAGCTCTGTGGCCGGCTGCACCAGCTGTGCATGATTTCAAACGTAGTCTAGTTGTAACGTGAGTGTTTACTAAGTTCAGGTTTATGCATCACTAAATCAGAACGAGCTGCACCACAAACTAGTTTTAACATTGAGCTTATTAGTTAGTAAATATTTACACCCCCTCAGCAGGTGTAAGTTTAGGGGAAACTATTAGAAACAACATAGAGGAAACACAAACAAGACTAAAAACGTGACTTTTTTGCGTTAACTAAGCTAAAAACTCTGAACGAGATATGATTTTCTCATAGTTCTAATCATCAGCCTGGTTTAAACTCCAAGCGTGAAGCTAAACCCCCACAGCTCCAGCTCATTGAGACTCCTAAACTGAGGCTGCTGTTGTGTCGGTTATCCAGAAACCGGCGTTCAAAAAGCTGCATATTTGGTTTCTCAGGGAAATATTAAAGAGTAATCAGACAGCGGCTGCAGATCATCAGGTTATTCAGTTTAACTTGTACACATCGTTCTGTTCTATGGATATTTTTTCCATTGAAAAAGTCAGAGCAGGTTTACCGATTGGTCCTAAACATGTTATCGTCATGTTAAAGCGACGTACACATTAGTTAGTTGCTACTAGTTAAGACCTGACTTATGGATTTGCAGCGCAGCCAAATTTAGAGAAAGAATAGTTTGAACTAACTGAGGACTCAGTAAAGACTTTATGAACAAACTTAAGTATAAACTTACGCAAACCTGGTGTAGCACAATCCTGATATCTACTTATGACATTTCTGTGGTTTTGTCTTCCAAAACAATCAAAATTCTTTTATTTCATAATCATTTTCCATTAAATGATCCCTTTGAATTAAACAGGCTGTTTTTGTTACTGTGCCTTCAAGATTGATGTATGTAAATAAGCTTTGTTCTGATTGGTTGCCCTAATTTTGCTTCACTCCAAAAGCTGAACTATTATTGGCTGAATAGGCAGATACACCGATCAGGCATAACATTATGAGCTTCCTTGTTTCTACGCTCATTGTCCATTTTATCAGCTCCACTTACTATATAGGTGCACTTTGTAGTTCTACAGTTACAGACTGTAGTCCATCTGTTTCTCTGATACTTTGTTAGCCCCCTTTTACCCTGTTCTTCAGTGGTCAGGACCCCCATGGACCCTCACAGAGCAGGTACTATTTGGGTGGTGGATCATTCTCAGCACTGCAGTAACACTTACATGGTGGTGGTGTGTTAGTGTGTGTTGTGCTGGTCTGAGTGGATCAGACACAGCAGTGCTGCTGGACTGAGAATAGTCCACCAACCAAAAATATCCAGCCAATAGCGTCCTGTGGGCAGCGTCCTGTGACCACTGATGAAGGACTAGAGGATGACCAACACAAACTGTGCAGCAGCAGATGAGCTATCGTCTCTGACTTTACATCTACAAGGTGGACTGACAAGGTAGGAGTGTCTAATAGAGCGGACAGTGAGTGGACACAGTGTTTAAAAACTCCAGCAGCACTGCTGTGTCTGATCCACTCGTACCAGCACAACACACACTAACACACCACCACCACGTCAGTGTTACTGCAGTGCTGAGAACGTAAGTGTACCTTAATAGTTGTAACAGTCTATTCTCTCTCATGTAATTACACAAGGGTAATAACGTAAATGTAATTACATTGTAATCAGACTGGAACTGCAGTTGTTTTCTGGTCTTGTCCAGAGGTAAAAGGAAGTCTGTAATAAATAACATTGACATTTCTTACACTGTATCTGCCAGCTTTCCTAACATTTAGCGAACGTTTATGTTGCTATTGCTGAGACACTGTTACCAGTTTCAGCTTTAAACCATTCTGTAATGTGAAAGCACAGCAGACATCCCCTTATCTGAACATGTAACTTTATGATATTAAATGTGTTGCATTTTCCCCAAAGCAGTGTCTATATTACCACTCCATTATTACACAGTACCTACATAACAACTACACAGGAACTGTCCACTTATTTAAAGTTTAACTTTACACTACAGGAAAGTTCCTGTGTTGTTGTTACATAAATACAGAACACCATTAATCAATGTGATTTAGTTACCTTGTTACAACACAGTTATTCCACAGTAATTATGTAAAATATAATTGTGTAAAATATAAATGTAATGTTATGTAAAACATACTTCTTTTAACTGCTGGAAAAGACTTCTGATCTGTAGTGTATCAAAAAGATACACCTGTGTAATTACATAAGGCAAAACTGAAGTTGACAAAACAGTGTAATTATATAGGTTGTACTTCTGTAGTACATCTATAACACTGACTAAATCATCAGTGGTTCCAGTGTTGTTGCATATGTTATTCATGTGTAACTACACAGTTATTAGAGACACTTAATACAAAGTGGGACCTATTTTTTTTTATAGTGCAGGTTTGGTTCAATTAAAGCAAATCCCCATGCAACTGTTCCATTCACTCAGAGGAACGCTCCCATTTGAACCCCGGTGCACAGTAGGCACAGTGAGCTTCCGAAGGAATTCTGGTGGAGTTTGGTTGAAGTATGAAAGCAGCAGTAAGTTGGCCGTAAGTCCTCTATTTAGGACCTAAAAATAGTTTAAAACGTCCAGGATTTGGCTTTGCTTTCATGCTGACGTTTGCCTTCTCAGTCCACCCTGTCCACCCTCCTTCCCCTCAGCGTCCTCTTCTCATTCAAAACCAAAATATATCCATCCTACACAACACAGCCCACAGACATCTAAACAGACTGGACCCAGAATGAACTGTCCTTTCCCTGGTCTGGCCTTCTTTCGTTCCTAAAACAGACAGTTTCTGAATCTCTCCAAGAGCCTGTTTACACCTTACGCAAGAGGACCAATCAGGTTCTGCTTCTTTGTCATGTCGCCGCTCTGCTCAGTGACTGCAGGGAAAGTTTATAAAACTTTATGAAACATGAAAACTTATTATTTTTACTGTTATAAGGCTTGAAGGTCCAGGAGCAACTACAGCTCAGCCACGAAGCGGTAGACCATGGAATCTGGAGTAAAGCACCGCCACTGGACTCTGGAACAGTGGAAACGTATTCTGTGGAGTGACGAATCAGCTTCTCTATCTGTCAGTCTGATGGACGAGTCTGGGTTTGGCGAATGCCAGGAGAACGTTACCTGCCTGACTGCACTGTGCCAGCTGTAGAGTTTGGTGGAGGAGGGATGATGATATGGGGCTGTTTTTCAGGGGTTGGTCTAGAACCCTTAGTTCCAGTGAAGGGAAATCTTAATGCTTCAGCACCAAGACATTTTGGACAATTGTAAGGTTCCAACTTTGTGGAACAGTTTGGGGAAGAACCTTTTCTGTTCCAGCATGGCTGAGCCCCAGTGCACAAAGCAGCTCCATAAAGGCCTGACTGGGTGAGTTTGGTGTGGAAGAACTTGACTGGCCCTCACAGAGCCCTGACCTCAACCCCATCCAACACCTTTGGGACTAGAATGGAGATTGTGAGCCAGGCCCTCTCGTCCAACATCAGTGTCTGACCTCACAAATGCTCTTCTGGATGAATGGGCAGAAATTCCCACAGACTCTCTCCAACATCTTGTAGAAGCTTCCCAGAAGAGTGGAAGCTGTTAGAGCTGAAAAGGGGGACCAACTCCATATTAATGCCCATGGATTTAGCATGGGAGTCATAAAAGCTCCTGTAGGAGTGATGTGTAGGTGTCCCAATACTTTCCCAATAGTATAGCTCAGCTGGTGACAGGGATTTCAAACGATCAAATCAGATTTTGTGTTTTTTTTATTAAAAATCAATCTTGATACAATCGAAATTTGCCAAAAATCTGATTTGGGCTGTCAGTCTGAACAAGGCCTAAGAGATACGCTGACTGTTTTGCAGTGATGCTGCCACCTACTGGACATGCGTGGGTATCTACACATACAAACGATAACAGCCACAATTAACCAGCCTTTATTGAGTTGTCTCTCATGTGTCTGCAATAATGAAGATGCTGTTCAAAAGCCGCTCTCTATGAACATAAACATGACAGCAGTTCCATTAAACAGCAACGTGACGTGATTTATTCAGCAGCCGCTCGGAGACTTGATTTACGGCGTTTCAGTTCCCTTTATAGAACAGGCAGTGGAGAGAAATGGCAAACGTAGCAGCTCAGTTGAAGTTTATCTCCCACATATTTGTACAAATAAACACTGTGTACATTTCTGCGAAGACCACTACAGACGCGGCTGTTCGGAAGCTCATTATAGCTTTCAGTGAGAAGCTGCGACAGTAAATGTCATTTCTAAACTTTTCAGCCGCAGAGAGAAGAGAGTTTGTGGCTCTGGAGGTGTTAATATTGTACACTTACACAGACAACTCTGAGTGCAAAATGACCCCAACTGACCTTCACACATTACTGCTAAAGGTGATCATTTGAATAACATTAACGGCTCCCTGCTTGGTTTTTGCATAAAATGCTAAGATGTGGCTGAAACTATAACATTAAAACCTATGGATGGCAATATTTTACAGAATAATTTGGTTTTTGAAGCTCCTGTTAAGGTCTTTGTGTGGAAGGACGATGGAGTTGAGGATGATGACTTCAGACGGAATCGTCACGTTGCAGCCTGCGATTAATATAAACAACAACTCGGTCAGAGACAGATATATTGGCATTGATACACTCTGTTTAGAATCACTTCTCATAACCTGTACAGTGCAGAATTTAATACTAAACTACAGCGACAAATGAATTCTTAGACATTTGATTTAATATTTCAACTATTTTGGAAACAAAAGCCATCAGTTACTTAATTAATCAAGATATCACTGTTGTTGAAAGAAAACCTCGTAACTCCAAAATGGTAACTTTACAGGAGAAGGAAAAAACCTACTTTACTTTTAATGTAAGTCAATGGAACCAGAGTTTTTTACAAGCAATTTTGGGCCGTTTCTTTTAGTGCATTCATCATGAAATTTACATACAATGTAAAGGACAACAGGCATTTACAAATTATGTTAAAAACGGAAAAACTATAATATATAATTATAATAAATAATAATATAATAATAATAATAATTTTAATTATGTGGCATTTTTTATGCAGGTGGCAGCTCAAAGTGCAAAATATACTGAATTATCATTCAGGATAATAATTGTTTTGAATTTCTTCCCAGTTTTATTAATTTATGATGATGTAATTCAGAATAGTATTCATTCTTGACTTTCTCAGTCATTTTGGGATCAGCTACAGCTCTCTATCAATTTGGGCACATCTGAAATGTACTGTTATTGTCGTTACTGTTATTTATTTGTTTGTTTGTTTCTTCCAGGGGCCGTATTACAGAAAATTCTTAAGTCTGAGATCATATCTTATCTCCTTTGTTGTCATGGCAACTTCAGTTAAGACTGAAGTTGGGACAAAAGCCATTAGAGAACAACAGTTCTTAAGTCTATAATCTTATCTTATTTCCAGATAAGAAAACAGTTTTACAGAAACCAAAATATCCTAAATATTTTCTGAATTTTAAGATAAACCCCAGAGCGTCTTAACTTCTGTTTAACCGTCTGTTTCTGTTGTTTTGTGCAGTTTTATTGTTTTTAACAGCGTTTAAAACCCCCAGACGCTACAGACACGTACAGACATCTCCACCGTCCCTCTGATCACCTTCGTGTGTTAATGTTGATGATGAAATATTACAGTGATGGTGGTGAATAATGAGGAGACGGAGCTGAACGTGTGTCTGTTTATTAGGATGAGTAACGTTAGCGCGCTCGGCTAAAGCGTTTGGGAAATGGAGACTGAAACTGTGGAGCGGCGACGCTCTGATAAACAGCGGGGGGCGCTCTCACAGTATTCTTAACTCTCAGTTTATTGTGCTTTAGTTTTGTTCGACCTTTTTTTTTTACCTCAGTAACGGCAGCTAACGTTAGCTGTCTGACTAACTAACTTGATTACGTGTTTACGTTTCAGCCGTGCGCGTATGGTCGGTTGCTAGGCAACAGACACGACAGTTGATTGTCGACTTCCAAACCTTCTGAACTTAAGTGTGAGTGTATATTTTCATGGTCTGTATGGATGATGGTGTCAAACCGTACCCAGAATGGTGATGGATGGAGTGAGTTTTCCGTCTCTAAAGAGCGTTTCGCTGTCGATTTTGGCGTACGGGTCATTGGGGTTGGGGTCACTCGGGGTGCCCTCCACTCTTGCCCATTTACCAATAGTGCTCTCCCAGCCCACGATGCTGTTTAACACACAGCTGTGATCCTGCAGCACACACACACACATACACACACACACACACACACAGAGTCAGTGTATCTGCACGCTGGGTCCTCTAGAGGTCACCATTGCTCTACAGTGTTAATGTACAATAAGGATGAAAGGAGACAGTGACCTGTAACTACTGAGGTTGGAGAGAAACTACGTACACTAACTAACTAACTAACTAATGAACAATCTAACAAACTAACTAATGAAATAAAAAAACAAACCAACAAAGAAACCAACTAACAAACAATCTAACTAACTAATAAACATATGACTAACTTTAACTAACATATAAACAAACTACATATAAAGAAGGTGCCACAAAGGGTTCTCTCAGCAATGCAATAGAAGAACCACTTTTGGTTCCCTAAAAAAGAAGATCTAGAAGTTCTATATCAATTTAAGGGTTCTTCCTCACACCTTCACACTACATAGAGGTTCTATAAACTTTTAAAAAGGTTCTTCACACTCACATATCTCATCGACAGTATCTCTTAAGAACCATCCATATTAATTAAGAAACAAACAAATTAACTAACCTACTAACAGTAACTAACTTAAGACAAGAAAACTAACAAAAACAAAAACTTTACAATGTTGCATGTTGTTTATATATCTATATCTATATATATATATATATATATCTTGCTGTTGTCGGAACAAGGCCTTATCTTATCTCCAAAACGGTAACTTTACAGGAGAAGGAAAAAACGTACTTTACTTTTAATGTAAGTCAATGGAACCAGACATTTTTTCCAAGATATTTTGGGCCGTTTCTTTTGGTCCATTCATCATGAAATTTATGCACAATGTAAAGGGTAACGAGTACTTTCAAATTATGTCAAAATAGAAAAATTATATATATATATACATATATATATATATATATATATATATATACAGAAAATGATATATATATAGAAAAATGATACACACACACACACACACACACATATTATATATATATATATACACACACACACTAATTAATTTTGCATATATTATGCTGCTACCAAATTACTCTAGAAATGGACAATAAATATTTACTGGCAGATGTCAGGAAAAAAATAAAACAGCACAAGGCTTCTTAATTAAGCTGTAGCCAAATGAATTTAGCTGCTGTTCTGCATTAATAATGCAGCTGTGTCATCTGCTGTGCTGTGATAAACTGCTTGTCAAAAGTTTGGACACCTCACTTTACACTACTTCTTACGTCTTTAACACAAGTGACTTTTGTCATTTTCCAATACAACATTAAAGTAGTAACAGTAAAGCAGGTTTACATAAAAGAAAAAACTCACACATATACATCACTGCTGTCGGGCCAAAACCTCGTATCTCCATTTGTTTCATTTTTCAGTTTTTGAAATAATCGGAAAATACCTACAGTCCTTTATATTGTGTGTAAGATGAATGGACCAAAAGAAACGGCCCAAAATCACTTGGGAAAAAACCTGGTTCCATTGACTTACATTAAAAGTAAAGTAGGTTTTTTCCTTCTCCTGTAAAGTTACCATTTTGGAGAGGACGAACCTGTAACGTGGCTCCATGGAGGATGATGGACTCTCTCACTCGAACTCCAGCTCCGATAGTCACTCCAGTTCCTATCGACACATTCGGACCCAACTGTGCGATTACAAGAACAATGAATATAAATGTATAGGCATGGCTGGAAGTGATTAAAATGCCCATACCCAATATCCCTCATAATTTATTTTATATGACTGTTTTCCAGCCTCTCTTTATCCCTTATTCAAAAAATTCGAAAAAGCAAGGAAATCCTGGTTTGTCTATAATTTAGGCCTTTTAACTGTGAGCTGGACACACAGGCGGTTCTTCTCTTATAAAAATGGCAAAATAACAATCATTCAAACCAGTTTGGATTGTGATATACACACTCTTAAAAAACATGGTTCTTCAAGGGTTCTTTAGTAAAGAAAATGGTTCTATAATGAACCATGGACACGTAAAGAACCCTTTGCATGATTCAAGGGTTCTTTAGATTGAGTGAGAATGTGCTGTAGACAGTTTTATACAGAATCACTATGAAAATAGTGAGGGTTCTGCTAGTGTTTCAATGTCAAACCATACACAGCACATTCTCCATCAATCTGAAGAACCATTTCACCATACAAAGAATCCTTTAATCATGCAAGGGTTTTATATCGAACCATTTTCTTTACTAAGGAACCCCTGAAGAACCATCTTTTGTAAGTATGTATTATGCAGGACATGTAGGGCTTTTGAAGCTGCAAAAGAACATGGCTAAGGTAAAGGCGCCCTCATGTGGTAAGAAGCTGTAACTGCATGAGGCACTTCTGCTCGTGTCCAGCTGTCAAACCCATTCCTAAAAAATCTTTACACGTTTCATGAAGCACTTCATTCGTCCTTTTTAAACTCAGTGACCACTCACCACAGCAGTGGGGTCAATGTTGGCCGTCGGATGGATGTAAACGTTTCCTGGAAGCAGACAATGTAGATTTAGAGGAGTGTCGGCAGAACAGGTTCAAACCAAGTCCTCCAAAACCTCAGCAGAAACAATTACCACATATTTTAGGCCCTCCGTCCTTATTCGTGGCCAGTCGTTCCGGATGGGTCTTATGGTACTGGTTAAGATACAGTCGACTGGCATAGATGGCAGATCTGCGAAAAGCAGAAACAGATCACTGACATTATATTAATTTACATTTTATGGCCTATTTGGCTTCATATTATATTTGTTTGTGACTTTAACTGAAGCCATACTGGGTCTAAGCAAAGCATTTTATTATATGTTTATTTTAACCTGTTTTATTAACATCTGACAGCCATGAGACAGCTGGGGCGCATGCACTTAATTGCAATTTATTGTAAATGGTACCTTAACATGCAAATGGACTCACAGACCTGACGTTAAATGCATCAACACTAAACAGTCAAACATGCAAACATTGGAACTGCCAAACTACACATTTTGTTGAATTCCAAATAAACACATCTTTTACAAACAAACTTAAATGGCTTTTTACTGCTAATTTTAATAATAACATCTGAGTTTAACTAGCAGTGAAAACAGAAAACAGAAAAAAATGTGCCATAACTTTTGCACAGGCCACATTTTATCTTTTCACCCCCCCCCCAATATGTTAAATTCAGCAAACCGTGCATTAAAATGTGCAGAAGTGCGTCCTCTGATGTGGATATGTGGGGACGTGTTAATTTATCTGACCAGGGGTGTCTAAACTTTTGCACACAAGCGCACGCAGGCTGTCTGTGTCCGGCGCTCACCCGGCAGATTTGATCTGGCTCCAGAATCGGTCCGTTTTGTAGACGTAGAGCTTGCCCTGGCCTGCCAGCGCGGTGAAGATGTCCTGCTCCAGACGGATGGCCTCGGCTCGCTGCCAGCCGTTAGACTGCTCGTCTCTGCAGACACACAACACTCGGCGTTACTCCCGCAAGACTCCGGCGGAGAGAAGTGACTGTTACTGAGCGAGTGAAACTCCAGCGGATAAAGTAATAAGAGTACAGCAAAGAGAGGATGGAAAATCATACCATGTAAAAATAATTTCTCTTAATATATATATATATATATATATATATATATATATATATATATTATCACAATATATCACAATACAATACAATATGCTTTTCTGAACATATCATGTACATAGTCAGCTCAGCCAGTTTGCACTGAAGTCTCTGTAGTTACTGAATAATAAGCCTTAATATGTAATAAGATTTTAAGGGGATAACAGGCTAGTAGGACCTTTAACTGAATCCTCCTACTGCTCCCGGATATTCTTATCATAGCCACGGAGAGGTGGAATAAAAGATCAGGCTGTGTGAAAAGTATGAGTTAGTAACAAATGCAGTCGGACAGTTCAGGCTCCTGGGCAGAAGTGGGAGGCGTAACCCAAACCCACACTGACTAATGTTAATTAAAGTTAATGAAGTGTGTTTGGTGTCATTTGTCTCCTTTGTGAATCTTTTTTTAGTTCAAAATAAAACAACGATCCTCAAAAGTCACAAGTGTTAATAACTGCAAAGCCAACAAAATTAAATTAAATACAAAAAAGGAATTAGTAACTTAACGATAATACAGTACTGAGCGCGTCAGAGACCACCCTTCAATCATTTACTTTCCTGTCAAAACAGTCAATAAGTACAAGTTACTCATTTGTCAGGAGATGTTTCTGAGGAGATCAGATATAAGATGATCCACTTGCATAAAGAAGGACAAGGTCAAAGAAAAGTGATTAAATGTCTCAGAGAAAATGGGGCTCCTAATAACCACCTGGAAGACCTGGTGGACCCCAAAACTGCCCCATCAGATAAACAGCACTTAATGCCGGCCTCACACCAAACGACTTTTCAAGCGATTTTACTGTCGCAGACAAATTTCCAATTTCAGAATAAAATCACGAGGGTCTTAGAGAGGGAGAGAGAGAGAGAGAAAGAGAGAGAGTGAGAGAGAGTGAGAGAGAGAGAGAGAGTGAGAGAGAGAGACAGAGACAGAGAGAGAGAGAGAGAGCGGGAGAGAGAAAGAGAGAGAGAGGGAGAGGGAGAGACAAAGAGAGAGAGAGGGAGATAGAGAGAGAGAGACAGAGAGAGAGAGACAGAGACAGAGAGAGAGAGAGAGAGAGGGAGAGGGAGAGAGAGAGAGAGAGCGAGAGAGGGAGAGAGGGAGAAAGAAAGAGAGAGAGAGAGACGGGGAGAGAGGGAGAGAGAGAGATAGAGAGAGAGATAGAGAGAGAGACGGGGAGAGAGGGAGAGAGAGAGATAGAGAGAGAGATAGAGAGAGAGACGGGGAGAGAGGGAGAGAGAGAGGGAGAGAGAAAGAGAGAGAGACGGGGAGAGAGGCAGAGAGAGAGAGATAGAGAGAGAGACGGGGAGAGAGGGAGAGAGAGAGAAAGATAGAGAGAGAGAGAGAGAGAGAGAGAGAGAGAATGCATGCATGAGAGCCTGAAATCTCTGTAAAAAAGCCAAATCTGCTCCACTTTAAAACAATCATATTAACTTAATGTAAACTGGCTGCTGTAACATTTCAGGTTCACTGAGTGTAACAGTGATGTAAAGAATGGCACTAGTGAAGAATCATCAGTGTGTTTTTCCTTTTTGTTTCTTTTCTGTTACAATGGTTTATTATTTTGTTTGTTTTTCCTGGTTTAACTCATGACACCCAATCAGCAACGCTGAATCGCTGCATGTTTTGTGTGTAAATCTTATATTAAATAAAAAAGTAACTGCACATTTTACAGGTTAATTGAAAAAGATTCAGGGTGATGATCTGCCAGAACACACAGCGCTACAGTGAACCGGACTGAGCCCCAGTTCTTTACACGCCCAGCCAGCATGTGTTTCTATTTGTCCCACTGCAGAGAGGAGAAAAAGGGCTTCTCTTCTTGTAAATTTCCATCACAACCTGAGACTAAAAACTGTGACATTGTCCTTTGGTGTGACAGGGTGTCAGACTTCACTGTGACAGGGTGTCAGGCTTGACTCTCTCAAAAGTCTTTTCAAAGTCTTCTAGTGCATTTTTAGCATAAAGCTTTCATCTCTGAGAGAGAGGAGAAAATCAAGCTGCTTCAGATCTGAAAACATCCACAGGTGTTTCTGTCCATCCTTCCACTGTGAGAAGACGACTCAGCGCTGTGGGTCTGAAAGGATGTGTAGCTGATCAAGAAGAACCTCACTGAGAAAAGGAGACGGACACATCAAACAAAGAAGCTGAACGATGGACTGACCACCCCAGAGTCCAGACCTCAACACCACTGAATGTGTTTGATTACTTCAGAAAATGATCAACCAGCTTCTAAGACTGAACTTTGGAGGTGTGTCTGCAGATTCTTTGAGGAACTGAAAGTGAGTCTCCTGAAAAGAATGGAAGCTGGAATAAAGGTGAAGAGTGACTCACTGACTGAACACTCAGACAGCTGAGATTAGATTTAGTTGTTGAGGTTCTGTTTGTTTTTCTGATGTTGAAAAATAAATAACTTGTACTTAATGGCTGTTCTGAGGCCAAAAGAAGTGCAAAGTGTTCTGTAGTCATGCAATAACATTAAAACGTACCTGTTATTCCACACATTCTGACTGCAGGCCAAAAACAAGCTGAACACACCCAGCTAAACTCTACTCAGCACCACCTACTGTTATTACTACATTTCACAGGTGCAGCAAAGCCTCTGTCTAATTCTACTCCACTAGCAGGACCACACCGTGACTTACCCTTCATATGGATATCTGACGATGGAGAAGAGCAGAAAAAAAAAAACACAGAAGGATGGAAGAAAGGAAGAAGAGTGAAGGTAAACAATGAATGAGGAAACCCAAGGGAAGGAAATGAAAAAGGTGCAGCTGAACTCAGAGACATCTGCTCCCACTCACAGCATCAGGTCCTGCTGGTTCTTCTGAAAAACAGCACCGATGTGCTGGAAGATGTCCGGGGTGAACAGGTATATTCCACAGTTAATGATGTCGCTCACGAACGTGCTGGGTTTCTCCACATAATGCAGCACCTGAAGAGAAAAATATGAGTTTTTTTATTTGGGTGAAAGCTAAAAAATCATCAACTGAACAATAAAATAGCATTTCCAAGTAAACCTGGATGTTCTTTGGTGATCAGGTGATTTTAAAACAACTTTTTGTTGTGCAGTGCTTTGTGTGTGTGTGTGTTTGTATATTATATACACACACACACACACCTAAAAGTGTCTTACCTCATTCGTTTGCTCATTCTCAACAATGCAGCCGTAGTTTAAGGACTGCTTTCTGTTGGCCTGCAAATATAAAGGCATCACTGTCAGGAAATCTCCTTCAGTTTTAGGTGGCACTTTAAAGCTGACAGAAGCTGAAAATGTGATGTACTGCAATGCTGACATATGTAATGTAATGCTGATATAATGTAATGCAGCTACAAAGCAAAGTAATAGTTCAGTTATGTAATGTAATGTTGCTCTAATGTAATGTAAAGCAGCTATAAATTAATGTAATAGTTCTATAATGTATTGTATTATAACGCAATGCAATGTAATGCAATGCAATGTAAGGTAATGTAATGCTTCTTTAATGTAATGTAATGCAACATAATGTAATGCAATGTAATGTTATGGCATGCTGCTCTAATGTAATGTAATGCAACGTAATGTAATGTAATGCTGCTCTAATGTAATGTAATGCAGCTTTAAAGTAATAGTTCTGTAATGTATTGTAATAGAATGTAATGCTGCTCTTATGTAATGTAATGCAATGTAATGTAATGGAATGGAATGCAATGCTGCTGTAATGTAATGTATTGCAGCTGTAATGTAATAGGTCTGTAACATATTGTAATAGAATGTAACGCTGCTCTAACGTAATGCAGCTAAAAGGATTGTACTAGTTCTGTAATGTATTGTATTATAATGTAATGCTGCTCTAATGTAAAGTAATGCAGCTGGAAAGTAATGTAAAAGTTTTGTAATATAATGTAATGCAGCTATAATGCACTAGTTCTGTAATGTATTGTACTGTAATGTAATGCTGCTCTAATGTCACGTAATGCAGCTGTAAAGTAATGTAAAAGTTTTGTAATATAATGTAATGCAGCTATAATGCACTAGTTCTGTAATGTATTGTACTGTAATGTAATGCTGCTCTAATGTCACGTAATGCAGCTGTAAAATAATGTAAAAGTTTTGTAATGTAATGTAATGCAGCTATAATGCACTAGTTCTGTAATGTACTGTATTATAATGCAGCTGTAATGTAAACGTTCTGTATTGTACTGTAAAATAATGTAATGCACTAAATGTAAAGGTCATGCAGCTAAAAGGATTGTTCTAGTTCTGTAATGTAGTGTAATGTGATGTAATGTAATGTAATGCTTCTATAATGTAATATAATGCAGCCATACAGTAAAGTAATGCAATGTAATGTACTGCAGCTGTAATGTAATGCAAATCTCCTAACAGTAGTGCCGAGGATGATGAAGCTGTGCGCGTCTCCGTGCTCCTTCTGGAAGTTCAGCATGTCCATCAGGGGGAACTCTGAACAAACGTCTGCGTTCATGACAAAAAAGGCCTCCGGGGAACCCGACAGGATCTGATCTCTGAAGTGGTAAATGCCTCCTCCTGTGCCCAGAGCAGCGTACTCCTGCAGGTACCTGCTCCCACAACAGGGGTCATACAGCAAATGACTTACTGCAGTAGATACAGCAGAGAAAAACATTCTCTAATGCAGTGACTCACAGAGCCAGTCATGATGACCTGATGAGACAAACTACACGTGACTTGTTTTCTCTATAATAAAAATATTTAATAATAATTATCTACTAATGTGCTCACCTAACTGACACTTTGAATTCTTGCTGTGCGGACGATAAGAAGCGGTTGAGCTCTTCGTTCGGCTGGTAAAACCCAACCAGCAGGATTTCCTTCATGTTTGGGACCTGTGGAGTTTTTTAGCACATTATTTACATTGCTCAACATTATTTTGGCTTTCTTGTGTTATGCAATAAATACACGAAGGACATTCCCGCCTGCCTGACTCGTCTAAACGTGTGGTCTCATGTAAAAGTCTTGTTTTGTATGTTGTTCTGAGGCCCTGGAGGAAGATCATTTCACTCTAACTTATCACACACACTAATGAGTGAGAGAGTGCGTACCTGAGCACAGGCCTCTATGTGGTGCTGCAGCATTGGGACTCCTGCGACCGGAAACAGAGGCTTGGGCACCTCGAAAGACAGCGGCCGGAACCGCGTGCCTAAAAAAACAATAACATTAGTGCAGCGCTTCCCAACTCTTACAGGCGCTGTGATGTCACTCGTCCCTAATCACTACTCCCTAAACACTATTCCCTACAGTGGAGCAACAGTGACCACAAATTATCCCCTAATCACTATTCCCTGATCACTATTCCCTACATTGGAGCACTACATAAAACACTATTATAGTGACCAGAAATGATCCTCTAATCACTATTCCCTAATCACTACTCCCTAAACTCTATTCCCTACATTGGAGAACTAGACAGAACACTATTATAGTCACCAGAAGTTATCCTCTAATCACTATTCCTTCATCACTAGTCCCTAATCACCAATCCCTAAACTCTGTTCCCTACATTGAAACACTACGTAGAACACTATTATAGTGACCAGAAATGATCCTCTAATCACTATTCCTTCATCACTAGTCCCTAATCACTATTCCCTGATCACTATTCCCTACATTGGAGCACTACATAAAACACTATTATAGTGACCAGAAATGATCCTCTAATCACTGTTCCCTAATCACTCGTTTTTTTTTTTGTTTTGTTTTTGTTTTTTTAATCTCTAGTCCTTAATCACTATTCACACTGAAGCACTATTTAGAACACTATTAAAGGGAACCGAAATGGCCCCCTAATCATTACTCCCTATTTTGGAGCACTATACACTGTTAAAAAGGGTTCTTTAGTAAAGACAGTGGTTCCATACAGAACCATTTGAAAGCTTAGATGGTTCTTTGCATGGTAAAATGGTTCATCAGATTGATGGAGAACGTGTTATATAGGGTTCTATACAGAACCTTTTTGAAAAGTGTTCTATATTTCACCAAAAAGGTTACAAGCTATGGTTACAAGCTTGACATCAGAACAATAGCAGGCCACTTTTTGGTGCTAAATAGAACCATACAGAACACATTCTCCATCGATTTGAAGAACGATTTCACCATGCAAAGAACCGTTTAATCATGCAAATGGTTCTTTGAGTGTTCATGGTTCTATATGGAACCACTGTCTTTACTAAAGAACCCTTGAAGAACCACCTTTTTTAAGAGTTCTGCTGTATAAGTCACAGTGCATTCACAGTGCACTGTTTACACTGGGCTTCATTTATATGCTACCTATTTTGGAGCATTGTGGGATTGTGGAAACACATTTCATACACTGGCATATACATTTATATATTAACACATTAATATATATATATATATATATATATATATATATATATATATATTTATATATATGTATATATATATATTTTTTTTTATTAATATGTATGTATTATATTATAAATCTTAAATACATTTACAAAACACACATTAATTAGCATATATGTATATATATATATATATATATACATATATATATATTTATATATTATTATATTATATATATATATATATATATATATATATATATATATATATATATATATAATATATATAATCACATATATATGTGATTTTACAACTTAATCATGTAACAGAGGTGGACGCCAGTACAGTCGGCTCCAAAAACCTCCCTCACTGCATTACAGTAACAATGCTTACATGCACAAGTGTACAGATGTTCATATCCTTCTGTAATATTCTGTATGTAATATTCTGTATGTAATAGTTATGTCTACTCAGACCTGCATATGTACAGATATTCACACATTTCTTTACCTCTTTATCGCTTTAGCTCCATTCACATTGGCTCTTTACTGTTTTTTATTCTACTAATTGTATTTTTATGTTTAAATATTATTTTCTCTTAGTTAAATTCAGTGTGATACATGCATGCACTCATCTAGACTAACTGATTGTGTGTGTGTGTGTAACATACTTGGCAAAATAAATTGAACCTAATTCTGATCATTATTGCCACCTTGGATAATAATAAAATGCATTGCGGTTAATCTGTTCAACTTCACACTAAAACACGAGAGAAATCTAACCTTTAACTGAAGCAAATTTAGTTTAAGAAAACAAAGACTCTTATTATAAAATATCATTTACCAAAATCACGGTTATTGGCAGCCCTGTTTTTACTTACTATTTACTAACATACTCCCCAACTACCATTTCACTCAGTCACTTCGTCATTATTATTATTATTATTGTATCATATTACTGCTATGGACAATAATAATAATAATAACAATAATAATAATAATAATAATAATAATAAGTTCAACTTATATAGCGCCTTTCACAAACCTAAGGATGCTTTACATAGTGTGAAAAAAAATTTTCTTTATTCTATTAATGGTATTTTTATGTTTTAATATTATTTTCTGTGTGTTACATGTGATACATGCATGCACTCATATATATATATACATATATATATATATATACATATATATATATATATATATATATATATATAGAAGACTAAAGAGAAGAAAAAAGTAATAAAGTAAAACAAATAACACTAACACTAAGTCACTTTACATAACAATAACACTGAGTCACTTAAGTCACTTTAAACTGTGTATATTCTTCACAGATTATCTCTTGTTTAATAGAAATATATCTGTACACAGCAGAGAGGTGTGTTTTTTTCTCCTCACATAGGTCCCTGCTGTCTCTATATTTTGTGTATATTTAATTTATTTCAGTTTCAGTATTTTCTTGTATTTTTATTTTTACTTTGCTGCCTCACCACAAGCATTTCAGCGCATCACTGTCCTGCCATGCTGTGCGAATGACAAACAAACCTGAAACTGAACTACCTTCTGAAACGCGGGGCTCAGGGCGAGGATCATGGTAAATCTAAGTGCATAGTTTGTGTATAAGTGGGGTTATAGGTGTCAGGTCTGTCCTCATATTCACTAATATCGATATTAATCCAGATATATTAATATTAAGGCTATTTACTGTGCAGCTGTCTCACCTTTCTGAGGGCCTCCGATCAGAATCACAGCTTTCAGCATCCTCTGCTCTTATTTCAGACGAATCAGCGCTGTTATTAAATCTCCTAAAGTCTCAGACATTTATACTACACATTGTTATTTACACTGGTTTTATATCGCTGTGTATGAAGTGTAAACACGGTGTTTTCTGTCTGTCTGTCTCTGTTTACTTTCCTCTGTGCTTCCCAAGCAGGCGAAGACAACGGTGACGGTGACGTCCGGGTGTGTGACTTCAAAATAAAAGTCTCTTTAGAAGACTACAGCACCTCCTCGTAGCGCGATGGACTTATTACTGACAATTACTGTCTGCACAGGTAGGTAGGTAGGTAGGTAGGTAGATAGGTAGGTAGGTAGGTAGATAGATAGATAGATAGATAGATAGATAGATAGATAGATAGATAGATAGATAGATAGATAGATAACTTCTACTTTTACTTCAAAATAAAAGTCATTTTCATATATTTTTCAAAATACATGTCGTGTTTGTAATATATTTCCAAATTTGTTTGACGTGTAAATCTTAAAAATAGACTCTATTACAGATATCCAAGTACATCACTATGAATTTAAGGTAATTCCATAAGCAAAGTCTGCATCTCAAACGGACTCCCTTAAAGTCCTTACAGCCAAGAGGAACGTCAGACTCAGGCCCTGTGGACCTCGTCTGTAATGTGCATGTTGAGGGTCTGCAGTCTGAGGAGGGCCTTAAGGAGATTAAGTGTGTTTTCACTCCTGAAAGTCTGAGTGCACTAAAGCGCTTTGTATGACACACCTGCGTCCCGTCGTCCTCACCTATGTGGCCTGTGCCTCCCTCAACTCAACACTGATTGGTTTGTCAGCTACAGAGCACCAGTCAGCTGGAATTCACCGCAAGAGTCTCTAAATCTCGGCTCGCTGGAGTCACTTCTAGTCTCTAACCACCTTCAGACAGCCTGTAGCTGTTTTAGTTAAACCTAACTTTTCCTTTCTCCTTTTTATTAGATTTTATTATTATTTTCCTTTTTTTTCTTCCCAATAATTTTATTTTATTTTTATTTTATCTAAACTCTATTCCTGTTTTTTTTTTTTATTATTTATTTTTATTACCTTTTATAACCCTTTTACTTGACTGTGTTAAATTCTAGTTTGGCTGTTCATCCTTTGTTGAAATCTCATTAATTGGTTTATTATCTCAGTTTTATTTTATATTTCTCCTTTTTAATCAAATCTTAACCGTTCTCTTAATTCTTTTGCCATTTATCTTCTTTTGTTTTTTCTGTTATTTTGTTTTTGTAGTTTGGTTCATCAAGTCTAACCAGATTAAAATCCGTTTTAATTTCTTTTTCAGTCCCTTTAATGTTGTAAATGCTCTGCTACACTGAAAATGAGGGTCACTCTCAGTGTATTTCTGAGTGAAAATAGAGGTTGATTGGTTCATTGAGGAGCGTCTGATGTCGCCGTGTTGTACATTCGGCAGGCGGCCTTTTCTGTTTAAAAGGAGAAAAATAGATGGGTCATTCTACAGAAACCTCCATTTTTGTGTCCCTAGCGTTTACAGATATATTACACTTAAAAAAAAACATGTTAGGGTTACAATTTATTTATATATTAAAATAAAACAGTTATTTTAACAGTTACACCTTCTTGAGCCTTAATTTACCAATATTGGTTTATAAATCAATTATATAGAATTCCAAGCACCACAGAAGAGTTCATCCTCAAGTCGTGTGTGAAGGCTGAGGCCATATTTTGAGATAAAAAACATGTTTTTCTGCCATTTTAACTGCAATAATCTATACATGACTATGGAATATATAAATTAAATGACATAAAGAAAACAAAAGCCAAATAAATATTATAAAATGTATAATGAAAGTTGTTGTCCCCAGGAGTCATGTCACTGGTGTTACCGCATAACAAAAAATCTCTTATTTTGAAATAAAAGTCACACTGATGACATTACTTGACTTCCTTTTACCTGTTTTCTGAGGATCTATGAAGAAAAGCACATGGTGAGTCCACTGTGTCTTTCAGTTATCAGAGATTTTCTCATTTAGCTTATGATTTCATATGAAGCTTTTAGCTGAAGTCACTGGTGTGACCGACTTTATTCTGAGGTAACTGTGAAAAAATAGAACACAAATGGATTAAATTCCATATTTTAGTGGATATTCCATGATTGACAACATGTGGTTTGATGCTCTGTAGCATTTTGTAAAATGCATTTTTCATTAAAAATGTCTCTGGTGTTCCATTTATTATGTGTTACACCAATGAGGATCAGTAACACCAGTGACTCCTATGGAGAGAAAAGTGGATGTTTCTATAGAATGACCCATATAGTCTCTCTCTCATCCACTCAGAGAATGAGGGAAAAGTCTCTGCATGTTTATTTTTTCATGGACCAAATTACAATCAAATATCTCACCTCCTCCTCTCCCCGTGTGCTACCGCGGCTCATTTCACTTCTCTTCTTTTTACTTCTCTCATTTTACTTCTCTTCTTTTTCTTCTGTTGTTTAATGGGTGATGATAGTCTGCCATAAACTTCCTATAAATGGTCTGAAAGTCCAAACCATCACAAGTGTTTTCACACTGCAAATGAATCAAACCATGTTGCGGTTTGATCTGGACCTAGACCACCTCTTTTGGTCGGACCACACTGTGGTCCTTTGGGCCGGACTGTGGTCTGAGGCGCCTTTTACACCTGCTTTGTTGGTTCAGACCAAAGTGATAAGTCTGAATGTCCGGACCAAACAAGGTGGGTGTGAAAGCATCTTAATACAGAACACATTTCTCCTTTATGTATATTTAATTGAGAGTTATGAGTCGTATTCATTCAGGGCACATTGCACTCATAGTCCGGATCTCCACCTGAGTGGCGTCTGGCACACTTCAGCCAGCACTTCACCGCTAACATAATAATAAAACCCCATAGAGGCGCCAGCAGGAACTATCCATCCATCCATCCATCCATCATCTAAACCGCTTATCCTTCTGGGTCGCGGTGGGGTGCTGGAGCCTATGCCAGCAGGATCTAGCGATAATGTAACTAACAAAATAGTTGGGAAGCAAGGATTAAGAACGCTAGTCTTTCTGGAAGTTCTAGATACGTCACTCACTGTAAACACAAGTCGTAGTCCTAGCAGGTTCTGGTTAGTTGTTAGGAATGTAAAACAGCAGCAGCAGCTCTATGTCAGAACTCTTTACCTAAAGATTCGCTGTAACACTGATACAGACAAGCTCAGATATATGATAATATCTATTACAAGCTTCAAATAAAACACATGGAATATCTTTTACAAGCTTCTGCTGTCTGCGATTAACCTACAACAGCCAAAACATGGAATTGTGAACTGCTGTAACTGTTATAATCACAGTTCCTCTGGCTAAATTAGAGTGTAATACATAAGATTACTCATAGCACTATTAGCCCAAACTGTACAGTGTAATGCTATAATGATGGAGGGCAATTATACAAGAATGCACTTTGTGTTTTTATTGTTTTTATTTATTAACATGAGGAAGCAAAAAAATAATGGTAACACTTTCTATGAATGTCGCATTTGTAAGCATCTATAAACACATTTATAACATGTTATAATGTATTCATAAGGCATTATAAACGTGGTTATAAATATTTATAAAAAAGAATTACACTGAATTACACTTTATAGCCATGCTTATTATACATTATGAATTGTTAATATAATGCATTATAAATAGTGTTAATAACATGTTATAATGTCAGTGCCAAAGAAGTCAGTCCCAGCTTGGAGAGCGTAAAGTAAAGACAAATACCAAGCTAACGGTGGTGAACATTACCTTTCCCACTTTGGGTAAAACACTGATGGCAGCACTAGTTTAAACTCTGACATTTGAAGCCTGTAATGTGCTTTACTGTGAATGTTTTAGTGTTTCAGTAAATCCTTCAGTAAATACTTCAACTTGAAGCCTCACTCTGAACACTGGAGGAGGCTTTAGTACAGTACGCTTCACTTTACTTAGAGTGGACAAATACGACTTATGAGCTCTTATAACTTGTTTTGATCAGTACTTATAATGTATTATGTTAACAATTCATAATGCATAATAAACATGGCTATAACGTATAATGCATTTTATAAATATTTATGGCTATGTTTATAATGTCTTATGAATGCATTATAACATGTTATGAATGTGTTTATAGATGCTTACAAAGGTGACATTCATAGAAAGTGTTACCAAAATATTTAAATTAACAGTAGTTCAGTTGGGCTCTTTTTGACTACAGGGCTGCATTTAGCCCCAGCAAAATGTAGCAAAAAGTTTATTTGAAAGGAAACGATGCTGTGTTGAACAATCTCTGTGTTACGCAAGCATTGCAACTATGGCAGCTGAGAAGGCCATTCTTGGCGTGCTTCAGCACAGGGATGTCAAACTGAGGACCCTCTGGGCCAAAGTGCTGCGGAGATCAGCGTTTACCCTCATCTAATACTCTGGATTCAGTAGATGAATGCTAATTAGCTGATGAGCTGAATCATTTTGCAGGCAAAACCATAGGTCACTTCTAGGCTTACTAACTTCAGAACAGTTTAAGCTACAGACATGATACACATATCAGACCATTCAGCAGACCCGACCCAAACTGTCTAGCATGACGTCATCAAGCTGTGTCCTCAGCATCAGTGAGTAATTCAGCTCTGTGACCATCCATCAGCCAGAAATCCAGCTCCAAAATCACCCACAACCCACTCGCTACTGTTATATTATATCTCTGCTTTTAGCCTTCATATTATAGACAAAGGGTTAAAAAACAGTGACATCATTCACACATCAGATCACTTATCAGACTCTGCCCTCACCATCCAGAGTGATTTCATCCACCTGTGACTGTCCATCAGCCAGAGATCCAGCTCCAAAATCACCCAAACCCCACTCACTACTGTTATATCTGTTTTTAGCCTTCATATTATAAACAAAGGGTTTAAAACAGTGACATGATTCACAAACCAGATCACTCAGAGGAACCTGCCTTCACTAGCCAGAGTGAGAGAAACCAGCTCTAACATCCCACAACCCAGAAATACAGCACAAACACACAGCCAGATCACTGTAAACCTGCTAATAGCTCTCTGATTTAGCCTTCATATGGCAAGAAAAGGGTTAATGAGGCATTGTGATAATGTCTGCAGAGTTTTGGCCCACGAGGACTCGAGCCTGACACGTGTTCTTGCGTATTCTTTTAAAAAAACTT